CTATACATAGGAGGAGTCGATAAGATCTCGCTCCCCTACCTGGATGAGGAGAAAGGTTTAGGGTTTAATAACTCTGCGTGGACTTGCTGTGCTAGGGGAGGAAACAAAAGAGAAAGTGGATCCCTAGTAACTACAAGCGTGAATAGTATAACTGCAAATCGTGGACTTAGTGTGGCAATTAACAGGGGTTTATTTAATTAAAGGAACCCTTATTTTGTGATGAGAGCAAAACTTTCAAAATTTGATGTATGTAAAGCCCCGCTTGGTTGCTCGTCGGTGCTGTTGGTTGCTCGTCGGTGCTGTTGCTTGCTAGCCTCTGGAATGGCTCCCTCCCACCCGGATGCAGGCTCATACAGTTCAGCTCTCTGTAGCCGCCCTATTCAGCCAGGGCATTTCTCGTCCAACACGACGAAGCATTTTATCAGACATAACGGAAGGGTAACGGAGGTAATAAGAAATACTACTTGATGAGATGGACTAATATGCTGCTGCGTTGCTCACATAATCGTTGGGGGACGCACATCATCGGACGATTTTTTTTCACGGTCAACAGACCACCCCAGCCTGAGCCTGCCCGATCTCCTATCCTGCTCAGCTGCAACACCCCGCAGTCACAACGCTACTGGTGGATGCCATCAACCTCTCATTATTTTCGTTTTCTGGTTCCTGGTGTAGTTGAGTCAGGTAGGTTGCTGGCGACCTTTAGTTTTCCCGGTCTCTGATTTCTGGAGAGTCGCTGGCGACCCTTAGGTTTCCTAATCCCTGATCTCTGAATTCTGTAGGGTCGCTGGCGACTTCGAGCTTTCCTGGTCTCTGAATTCTACAGGGTCGCTGGCGACCTTAGCTTTCCTGGTTAGGTTGCCAGCAACCTCTGGCTTTTCTGCTTTCCGTATTTGCCATGGGTGCTAGCAACCTCTGGCTTTCCCGCTTACCGTGTACCGTGGTGGCTTTCCATCCCGCCGTACCCATGTAAATTATGGAGACAGTGAGGGTAAGTTCAGAATTGTGGAGGAGCCTGTACAAGTTTCATCGTCAAATTCCTGACTAGGCTCCTCGAGCTTTTGGGGTACGTACCGAAAACGCGCTTTGCCAAATTGGTGCGCGCTTCAGTCAACACTAGACGAATGCAATGCTCACGCCAATGGCTCGCCGCCACGTTGGGGGTGGGGGGGATCGACGACAGCCCCCACGCCTAAATCCACCTATGTCACGAAACGGCAAACTGAAAGCGGCATGACCTCACGCAGGACTCAGCTACTACCTGCAATTTGAGTATCGGTGTTGATATGATGCCTAGCGCTAACGGATCAAGCCGTCGATCGTCGGTTCTTCCAAAGTATAGTCATGTGGTTGGAAATGGGATGTATACACAGCAGGGGCAGCCTGGAAGCGCAGCACCCAACGCTCAGGCGAATTATTCCAATAAACAGAATGGGCCGACACAGTCCTTTGTTACTGTTCCAGCAACCCCCCCTCAATCTTACATGGGCAACTCCTCTGTTGATACAATGACGAGACCCGGCTACGATCCTTATCATGGTCATGTATACCACGCTGGAGATGTTACTTCTGGACAAGTGGGCCAGCAGAGTAACTACAACTCCATTTCTAGCGGCAGGCGAGGGCTTTAGACACCGCCAGATGTGTCTAAAGTAATCGACTCAGTGCCACGGGGCCATATGGAATAAGTCCCGGGCTTTTGTGATGTCCCCTTTCCTAGTTCTCTCTCGCCAATAGAGTGGAGCCATTCTATCGCTACTTCGAAACCCTCATTGGAACGACTTGTTTTTTTTCATTCTCTTCATTAATTATAATTAACGTCGGATCGCTCACTTCCATATACGACCCCGTTTCTATGAATATCTCTCGGGTGAGATTTTATCTAAGACAAAATTGGGAGGCGTACTCACTTCTTACGCTTGACACCCCGAATGGCTTGTTTTTCGAATACGCTCTTTCAAGAATGGCTCCCTCCCAATGACTCTTCGGCTAAACTCAGAAAAAAAGAATTCACTGCCGAACCTCTTCCTTCGTTTATGTCCTAAGACTTCACATCGCCGAGGCTCTTTGCCAAAATTGTGGCCTCGATCTACGAGACTCCGCCGAAAATTAGTCATTGGGACCCATAAGCATGTTCGGTCCGACTACTAATCCGGCCACCCACATATCATATATCTTCTGCTGTCTCTTTAGCCAGACAGCAACAGTGTCAAGTTACGAAAGGTGGATACGGATACTCATCACGTGATAACATCCATCTGGGATATTCGGTTAAATGACCAAGCTCCCAAGCTTGGTGAGAAAGATCACGTGAGTGGGTCGATGAGCCAATTAGAGACGAAAATCAGAGGGTTCCTAGCATTTGATGATTGGCTGAGAGTCACCGCATCGATAGATGAAGCAATACTCGACGAATACCCGACCATGGGCTAACCACCCACGCATGTGATATGGTTCTATTGTTCTTTTTGCCACAATCGGTGCCTGCATAAACCTTCCATTATTAAAGTCCAACAAAAGACTTGCATCACGTGGTGATGCGCTTATTTATGAAAGCCCGAGCTTCGATGAGTGCTGGAAGTGTTGATTCCCTTTGTGATTACTATGAAGGAGTCTTCCATTTATCCGTGGTCGCCAGACTGCGATAATATGTATACTACGTTCTCAAAGTCTTGAAATTGAATCAATTTTGCAAGGTTCTCTTTATTCCAATTTTTTTGGCTAGTCTGTTACTAGCTTATATTAGAGTTGGAGAATGATGTCTGAGTGGTAAGAAAATTAATTAATTGAATGAAGGATAGTGCTAGAATAAGATATCCTCAATCCTATGAGCTATCTAAAGAGCAAACCAGTCTGGAACCTATATTCGGCCAGAGAGTGAAACCACAGGATAGTCGCCGTTTTGCCCACCACAGAAGGCTCCCGGGCCAGCAACCACATTACAAGGAGTGGAACACTGGTAGACGATACCAAGATGGCTATATTGGAAAGCATTGAGCACGTTTCCGCATGTACAAATCGACTGTCCCGTCTCACTTGTGCCAAGAGAGAGGTAGAGGGCAGGCCCTCCAGGTTGCCCAACACAGAAGGCTGCGCAGTCGTCGAGTGATGTGAGTACAGTCTGACCCGTATAGGGGTCCAGCCCGTACTTGTCATCTTGGCTAGCAAGGTAACAACCGAGATAGCCATAGTTTGTTGTGTATCCGGCTGAATACCTAACACTTTCTAAGGCCAGAAGCCTAATAATAGGACGAAACCGCGGACGGGCAGATCCAAACTTTCCCACTGCGTTGGTTCGGCCGACTGCCGGCCACCACTACGATCTATGCTCTCATCTCCTCGGAAGCGTGTCAGCGCCAAGCAAGGAAACAGACCTATCACGGGCTATTGGTGTCCTCCCTGTGGGCCGCGGACCGTCAGCTGAAACTCCGACAGGCCGCTTTTGGCAGCGTAAACCCCAAACGGTGCAATCTGCGCAATATGCATCTGTCGGCTCTTGTTTCAAGGTCCACTGGTCCAGTATGCTCCCGCATTTGACATCTAACTAAATAGTTAGAATCAGGCTAAACCACCCGAGCAAGGCCAAATCTAGCTTTCCCCGACGGTTGCATTTCGACCCCAACGATGAGTCTGGCCAACAACCACCTGCTGACTGTAGAGGACTTTGGTTCACCAGGGCGATCCTACTGAAGGCTTAGAGCTTGAGATATATCATCAGGTGGACTGGTTTCTAAATCTACATGAATTTCTATGCCCTTCTCAGTAACAAATGAATGACAGCCTCATACTCAGATCCCCATGCCATCACAAGATGACAGAAACACCCTTGACAGCTTGATAGTTGAGTACGAATGCCGCAGAATGGTGATATTGCATGCTGGTACCGCTCCCGTTCAAGTCGATGCCCCGCGCACCACATGAATGAACCCAATGGCTGTTGATTTGGAGATAGCGGAGATACCGTCAAGGCCCGTCTCTAATTATGTCCAGTCATAACTTTAAATACGTTTGAGGTGCCTGACCATTGACCCTTGCTGACTATCATTCTGCGATATACCGGCCTTCCCCCCTCCGCGCGTCCCACTGACCTCTATAGAGTGCATGCGGTAGTAAGCCACCCGCAGATTCTAGATATTTCCGGTCTAATTCTAATTTTGATCGTCTTCCAGACGGTCGGGCACTGCCCTCGCGTCTGTAAGCCTGCGGTGTATGACAATCCTTGCCCCGCGAACGTCCGCGGTTCGCCGATCGGCATTATCAGATTTTGGCTATTTCTCTCACCACCGCCAAATCGTCCCAATGAGGAAATTTGCGTAGGTTTTCCAGATTGGGCCCAGTCAAGGGTCAATCAGGATTCTCCACTGCCAAGAAGAATCACCTCTCTGGGCCACCATCTGCGACTTACCTTTCGAATCCCGGTCCCTCCCAGGGGTTAAAGTCGTGCCTACTGGACTGATTTTATCCATATGGTACTGATCCTACCTAAACAGGGAGCCAAGTTTTCATAAAATCGACATATTATATCAGCATTTTTCTATATTTAACACATGCTCGGAAGTACCACGCTGACACTGGCTCTTGTCTCACCACCACAGGGCTTTATCCTGCTTTGAAGTAGGAGGCGTACCCCAAAATGCAGTGGTGCAGCAGGGCTGCCAACTCAGGCTGTTCTGTTCTCAAACCGCAAGTAGTAGGAACAAGACGCTTCCTCGTGAAAGCGTGAGCCTGATACAAGTACGTATATTAGGAAGACCTATTACGCTCGATCTAACCACAACCAGGTCAGCGTCGTAATGGGCTGTAAGAAGTCAGGTATGGTGTAGCCGTGATCAACGAATGCGTAGGTGAAACCTAGTATCACGATACCTGCACTTGTGTGAGAGGTGCTATGATTGTAAAGGGTTGGCTGTCTTCAGCCCTTTTATAGCTGGGCCTAGATGACCCTGCTTGGGGCATAACAAGACCTTTCTCAAGGCATATCCATTTCCCAGAAATATTCGCTACCTGAAAGTATCTCTGCAACGAACCATTTGCTGTACTTGCAAAATTCCTGCCTTGGTGGCGTCAATGACATACAGGGTCTCGCCCATGCGCTTCCCTGAGAACTCGGTTGCGGTAGAGCGGACGATGTCCTCCAATTCGGCCGATACTATACAGCCTATTACCACGCATCGGGCCGAACTTGACTGAAACAATTGCCCTGTTGCTTCCCTTATCCCATTCTTCATGTCCTCTTGGGAAATCGTGTTTGGGTCAGAGCTATGCAACTTCGCTGAGAAGACACCGGCAAACCTGTCATTGCTGCTATTCTTGTTCTGGCCCAGGAATGTCCTGACTTCGCCCGTAAGATAGCTCCCCCAGAAGTCGTCGAGTGTGACAATCCCCCATCTGTCATCACTATCTGGGCGCAGTAGTGTCTGGGCCGTTAAAATGCTCGCTTCAAAGACCCCCATTATACATTCAGGGCCAAGGTTGGACAATTTTGAAATCAGAGATTTGGTACCAAAGCCAGCGATGAGGACGGCATCATAGTGATCTAATGTAGGGCCATCGGTTGATATTCTTGAGCAGACAGTTTCTTCGCTTGTCTCGATGTCGCTGTAACTAGTTATGCTTGACGGGACTGGCTGTGGAGTTGTATAAGCACTGAGCTCAATGGACTGTAGTTGTGGTTAGCTTATCGGCCCCTTTGATATATTGGTGCTAGGGGTCTCTGTACATCGCCCAACTGCATTCTGTCTATACTAGCCACTATCGCCGCAGTTGTTGCCTCTGAGGAGTTGGGGTTGATGATGAGAATACGAAAAGTCTGGCGTGGGTTCATGTTGCCGAGATGGTGTCCTCTTGACCGCTTGAAAAGATATTGACAGACTTATCGGGTTGTAGTACTGTCAAAACATATATCGCTTGGTCCAGTTGCTCCTGGTTTGTAATTCCTCCTCCTCACGTGATGGGGGTACCGATGACCCGAGGAAAACGTCATGATGCTACGTCATGATGTGTCAACTAGCCTGCGCCGACCCCTCAACCTTCTTTATTGTCTTCTTTCTGATCACCACGACCCGTGACAATGGTGCCCAACCATATTTATTTCGGGAGTTTGGGTCAGCGGCGTCCTCCACGAGTGGCTGTTTCACATCCTTCGTGTGCTGATTCTCTGCCGAAGCAATTGACAACAGTGTCTGGTCGTACTTGTCGCCAAGAGCCCGGTGTCACGCCATCGTTGCAGGTACTAGCACCGTGACCACCATATCGTAACCATTCCTCGCGGCCCATCACAAGTTTGACCAACTATAGCTCCTCTTAGAGTCTGTATTGATAACGGTTGTTGTAAGAGTCTAGTTCCCCTAGCCCAATTCGTCTCGAGAGCCAGCGCCCACCAAGCCCCTTGCAGGTATGAAATTCGCCACGGTACTATATACCTTCCATGCCGCGTAAAATAGAGGTATCCAACCGGAACTTACCTATCCATAGAGTCGAGGTTTACATTACAGAGCCTCCCGTTGGAGCTGTGCCGATGTTATCCTCTGCGAGTAGTAGCTCCACCACGAGATTCTCCCCTATACAGAAGGAATTCAGATGGCAGCACCTCTCTCCGCAGTGGGGGGACTCACCCTCAACTTGTTTTGAGCTCCGACCCCCTGCATTAGAGCACTCGTGGCGGACTATGACATCAGTCTCACATGTCGGCAAGCTCATGATGTGCGTTGACGACCCTCCATTACCAATAAGGTTTTCACTAGGGACGGGGTGGCAAAAATGTCGTCGCTTAAGACAAGGTATCCAAAAGATGTACTTAATGCCTTGCCTATGTCCTAAATCTTTGGCTTTTACCGGTCGGCCCCACTGCAGTACAACAGCGTAAATCCTACTATGGAATCCCAGACAAAAGGAAATCCCGAGGCGGGTGAGTGAATATCTTTACTCTATATACTGGAGCGCTAAACACTAACGCTTCCTAAGCCGATAAGCCTGGCAACAAGGCAGAGCATCTCCGAGAAATGTACGGAAGGGCACCACGCCGAAATCTCCTTGACCATCAGTTGGACGTACGTATATTCATACATGCCTCACCAGCACCCTCCTGGTTATCTCTCGGCCTCCTTCCGTTATGTTATAAAGTTAACTGTATATGTATAGGAAAGAAAGTATTTCGATTCCGGTGACTTTGCCCTTTCGCAAGCCCGAAGAGGTTCTGATATCGGCCAGATAAAGACTGGGACCCAACACCCAGACCGGGAGAGTATATCTGACCCAAAGGCTCCCATACCAGGCTCAGGTAATGTAAATAAGAGCGCAAGCAAGGATCTGAATGACCCGGAGAAAAGTAGCGAGCCACAGAATCAGAGCTACCTGCACGAAATGGCGCGCTCGGATAATGGGAAGGGCTAAAAGCTTGGCTCTTTTACGAATATCTCCAACCAAAACTCCGTCTACCCTATGCCGTTAGTCAGGACTATTATTATCTTTATTATATCTCGAGTATGTTGTCCTATTCGGCTAATAAAAACCTTTGTAATATCTTCTTTTCTTGAATTTTTAAATGCGGTGAGTTTATGTGTACGCTCCTCCGGAAATTCCGAGAATACCAAGAGATCCCTCATCTCCCATGGCGAATAGCAGAACACAACTTATCATCCGACAAATATCGAAGAACTCATATTTATATTTATCAAGATAAATGTCTTAGCAAAGCTTAATAAGACTACTCACAACCTCCTATAACGAAAACTTCGACACCTCGAAAGCCCGATCAAGCGACCACTCCCCCTTGGCCGTCCGCTGCCCCTTCTCGCCAAGAACCGTCACCTCACGAACCTTGCGTCCCGACCTATAGTGGAAGTTGCCGTTCACCTTGAGCTTATCACCGTTCCACAAGAAGTGGACATCCGAGACGGCGCCCTCCACACTCTCCCCGTCGTCAAGGAACAGCGTACCCGTAGCCTTGCCGTCCACACCCGACGCGACAACAATATGGAAGTCCTTCTCGCGGAGCGCGGCAGTGGTGTTGGCGGACTCGACGCGGAGTGGCACGACCTTTCCACCGCGGTAGTGGACGGGGATATCGGTCCACGGGACATTGTCGATGGTCACGGTAGCTCCCTTCCCACGGACCTGCTCCATAGTCCAGAAGTCGTAGAACACGTCGTCAGGCAGATAATACGTCACCGACGTCGCGTCGTTCTCAATCACGGGGCTCACGAGGATGGACTCGCCGAGGAACCACTGCTCCTGGTTATAGTAGACATTCTTGTCAGAGGGATACTGGTAGAACAGCGGGCTAACGCTCGGTGTCCCCTCCTTATGAGCGAGGAACAGAGCCGAGTAGATGTAGTCTAGCAGCTTGTATCAGGCATCCAGCGCCTTCTGCGCAGCGGATATGACAGTCGGCCACTTGTAGAACTCCTGCTGAGGCGCCGAGATGTCCGCGTGATTGCGCATAAAGGGCTGGAAAGCCGCCATCGTGGCCCAGCGGGCGCACATGTTCTCCTGCGCGTCGCTGTTGAAGCCGCACACGTCGGAGCCGACCATGGGGATGTTGTGGACGGTGGCGTACGCGAGCATCTGGGAGATGGAGAAGCGGTAGTCGTCCCAGCTGGAGAGTTAAGGGTTTTCTCTGAGGCGGCGGTGCATCCTAATTTCGCGAAGCTGGGATATCCAATGGGGTACTAGCGAACTTTAGTATGTCTCACCATAAAGGTCCGAGTTTCAGGCCTTACATTCTCGTAATTGAAAACAGTACCATAAAGCCAGCCAATCTCTCGCTGATAGTGTAATGTCAAGCTACATGAACGCCCCCCTCACCCCTACGATATCATGCAAGAAACCTGGTTCCAGCTGGCTCTTAACACCGCTAGGACGAGATACCGCCTTGATCTCCCCCCTCGTATCTTGAATCCGCTGTCGCTTGCTAAGCTCCAGGGCGGCCAGCTGGCGTCGGGGTGGCGAGAGGAACCACGGGCGCTCGAAATCAATTATCATTACCCCTCAAGTTTCTGGATTGACCAACATGTGATGCTCAGTATCTCGCTCTGCTCATCAAAGAAGCTAGTCCATTGCTAGAGGTGCTCTGGAACAAGCTAATGGTAGGCGCGGATGCTGCCAGTGGTGGTCCTAGATAGATCGATTTCGACCGTAAGGCGGGCGTCAACGAGATTGTGGTAGGCCTCAAGATACTCTAATGTTGTCGGTCGGGTCTTTTCCCTTTCCCAATCCAGTTCGGTCGCTGCTTAGTCCCTTTCGGTTTCTGCCCGATTGGCTCGCTCCTCTTCTCGTGCAGCTCTCTCCTCTGCCTCTCGTAGACGTTGAAGCAACTTTTCCGTGTCCGTCGGAGCACTTATGGTATCATCCGAGAGGGTAAAAATCGAATACTAGGTCGGCCCTAGAGAAGTAAAGTTAATTTAGTATTGATATAGGCTCTATATTAAGAGTGAAGGGGGTATAGATTACTTAATAGTGTTAGTAGTATCGTGTTGCCTGTATTAACACGTCATGACTTAGCTATAAGAGTTGTTCCTCTAGCGACTGTAGATTCATATAGGTAATATATGAATATATAGGGTCCTGATTTTATAGAGCCTGATAGTCTATTTAAAGAAGGGTGGAAGGTTGATAGTTAGTGCTTATAATCGGTTTCTTGTGATGTGACTAAGGGAATAATATAAATGAATAACACTAGGCATAAGGAATCCAGGAACTCTGCAGCGTGTATATTAGGCTTAGGCAGGTACCGCGGAAAACTTTAGACCTATAAGCGTGATCGGTCCGACTATTAATCCGGCTACCTCTAGCAGATTAATCACATCCGACCTATATATCTAGGTGATTAAAAAAATATGCTTTATGATTAGTTAGGTTAGATGCTCATTATGCTTATACTCTTTTAAAAATAATGCTTTGCTAGATGATACTTTAAGAGACTACGTTTTAGATAGATTAACCTAGCTAACCTAGACTAGTAATATTATTAACCTCTATATAAAGCGAGGAGAGTTAGTTTATAAAACTATAGATTATTTTAAGATTTACTAGTTCTAGGCGCCTCTTAGTAATCAGCTCCGAGAGGGATAGTATGTTCCTAGTAATATATAGCTAGTAGTATATTATCACCTCCTACGTTAAGATAAGGTATCTAATTAGTAATATAATATAATTAGGGATATATAAATATAAAGCTACCTTAATACTAGAATCTAGAAGCGCCTATATAAGTTTCTACCTGATGCTTATCCTTAATTAGTAACTAGAATATATTGAAATAGATCTTATAGGAGACTACTCCCTAGTGGGCTAGCTAATACTGAAGCTAATATTTAGTACTATTTATTACTAACTTATTTACTCTTAAATAAACTAACTAACCTTATAAATCCTATAGGAAATAAATAGTATTTAATTATTTACTTAGATTAGGCTAGCACTATTAAGCGGTTATTAGGTATATAATATTTTAGTATTACTATATTAGTAATATAATAAGGTAGATCTACTTTAGAATAAATTAAAGAATTTAAATATTAAAATGCTTTTAAATTATACTATAGCTAAAGCTAGAGTAGTATCTCTATAGAGCTAAACTAACTTATTATTATAATAGTATAAATTACTTATTCTTAATATAGTAAACTACCCTATAAGTATATTTATAGTAGTTTAGAAGACTTTAGCTAATACTAAGGCTATAGATAATCTTATATATATAAGTATAATCTTAGTTATAGTTAAGCTAAACTACATTAATAAGCGCCTTAATAGTAGTAGTGCCTATAATTAGAGATATATAGCCTTTTTACGCTAGGTATATCTAGATAAATAACATAAGATAGTAGTACTCTTTAATCTTATATAGAGTAGTATTTAATACCTTAGCTATATAAATAGCTTAATATTACCCTAGATAGGATATTAATTTTAGTTAGATAAGAGGATATAGTATAACTTACTAATAGTTTTTCCTAATAAGATCCTATTATTAATAAGAGTAAGCTATAGGATAGTATCACCTATTAAAGTAAGTCTCTTATTTCCTTATTATTTCTTATTATTTATTAAGGGCTTAGTATTAGCCCCTACTACTATAAGAGCTTCCTCTAGTAATTTAGGATTTTAAAACTTATGCTAAATAATTCACTCTATAACTTATTAGCCTTATATTGTGGCGGGGATAGAAGACACCTAGCTTAAGGAAGAAATTATAAATAAATCTTCTACTAATTTATTAGAGGACCTTATATTTTAAGAACTATATTAATATAGCTAGATGCTCTTAAGCAATTATACTATAATTCTCCTATACCTATCGATCAAGTATTCACTATAGATCACCCCTTATCTTTCAATAGGAGTTTTAATATAGCTATAGTGTTTACATGCTTATTAAAGCTAAGGCTAGATCAGTATCTCTAAGTTATATATTATAATATTAGATGTAAACGCTATTATATTACTTAGATAGTGGTTTTAATAGGCCTAACTTATAGGGAAAACTTAAACTTTAAATAAAGGCCTAATATAGTAACCTTAAATTAATTAAATTAGTAATATTTACTAGGCTTTTACTCTATAGCCCTATATTATCTAGGGAATAATAATATTATAATTTAAAAGAATTATATTCCCTTTCCTATTTAGTATATTATAAAAGCTATATAATATAATAGGTAATACTATTAAGACTAACATAATACCTTAGTAAAACCTTAATTATCTATATTCTATTTAAAGTTTATCTCCCGCTCTTCTATAAAGTTCTAGAGGTATAGGGTGCTAGGTAAAATAAAGGTTATTTATCACTATATTATTTATATTTAATCTAAACTAGTTAACTATTTATAGATAGTAATATTACCTTCCCTATATTTACTAGCTTATAGAATATTCTACTAACCTATTCTTCTAACTTTAGGTTAGCATTAATAATAATTATCAGGCTTTTATAATATATAATCTTATTATTTAGCTTACCTAGATATTATAGTAAGTTATAGCTAATTCTACGTTAGTATCACGCCCCTAAGAAAAACACTAATTTAGGACGCTTAGTTTAATTTAAAGTTAAATCTATTAGTTTATTATAGGTGGTGATAGATTAAAAGGCAGAATCACTATTAATAATTACTATAAGATCTAGTATTCTTAATAAACTATAATTAAGATAGTATTAGTATATACTTTTATAAATCTATAGTAATCCTTTATAAAACTTAATGCTTAGTAGTTAATTAGTATTAAACTTAATGCTAGAATATAGATTAATATATTATCTACTTAAAATTTATATTTTAATTCTAGATATATTTAATATATATATCTTCTATAAGCCTATAATAATATTATAAATAGTAATTATAGTATCGCTTTAGGTTTTACCTAATTCTTATTAGGTTATTATTAAATATAAGGACTCTAGCTAGTTATTAGGTAGACTATATAGTATATACTAGGGTATAATAGGTAAGTAGTGATCTTAAGAGTAGGTATAGAAGAGGTAAAACCTTTAGAGGTGGATTCTTAATAATAATAAATAAATCTATAAATCTATATTAATAGGCTAAATATATATAATATTAGATAATAATCTATAGTAGCTTACTAAGTATAAATTTACTTACCTCTATAGTAGATAAAGCTCTTCCTTAAGAAGACTAAAATTATTTACCTTTAAATAAGAATAAAGGAAGTATTTTATTAAGTTTCCCCTTAGCTACTAGCTTATCTATTAATTACTATAGTAGAGGTTTTATATAATATATACTTTTTATAATATACTATATACCTATATTTTAGTATAGTATATTTATTTAAAATAATCTCACACTAGCTAAGCTTTAGCTTTATAGTAAATATAGTATTATAGATATAATAAGTTTTATTAGATTATATAATTATTTATATAGTATATTATTAGTGTAACTCTTAAAGCTACTACTAATATTAGTGGGATAGCGCTTAGAATTAGTCCTAACTATAATAATAAGTAAGAATAATAAAGAGGGCTAAACCCCTTAGCTATATTATACTAATCGCTGTCTTACGCCTATTCCCGGCCGCGGAGTTATACTATAATAATATTTATTAATAAGGTTAAATAATATTAAGAGTATTACTAAGTATAATATAAATGAGAGTAATAAAATAATATCGCTAATAATATTTATTATATATTATACTCCTACTTTATCTCTTTAACTAATAATCCTTAGAATCTGGATTATGCTTTACCTTTTAATTCTATGCTTACTCCTAGCTCTTAGTTTATTATTTATACCTAAAACTTAGGTAAATAATATCTATTAGTTATAGGCGGTAAGTTATATTTATAGGAAAAGCTTTACTCTTAGGTAGGGTTTTAATAGTACTATAAGAGTATAAAGGATTAGTTTAGATTCTATTAATTTATAATAGGGCAATATCTTAGGCACTATAAGGAAAATTATATTATAAAAGCTCTTAAATATATAGAGATAGAGTATATTATAATCTTATATTAGCTAAAGAGAGGATATTACTTACTAGTCTTTTATAATAATATAAATAATATATAAGGATTATAAATAGTATTATAATAGTTAAAGTCTAATAAGGATAGGAACTTACTACTATTTAATAGTAGGCACTTCAGAATAATAGAATAACTAATAAGCCCTTTAAACTATTAATATAAAACCATTTATTAGTCTATTTATTATTAGAGTTCCTTATAGCCTGATTACTACTTGTCTTTAGCCTTATTAAGTAACTAACCTGAAGGCTTCCTTGAGATCGCCTTTATAGAAATTCATTGCTAAATTATTCATAGATTCCTGGCCAAGGAAGGTGCTCTTCTTCCTTCAATTTAATAATAAGATCGTCCTCCTCTTAGGTGAAGATATAACTAGCTGAGCTTCGCAGAGTTCGGCTTAAATTCTCTTCTATATGAGATTTGGATCTACTGCTGTTTTAGGAACCTAGTGAATGGTCACTACTATATAACTCCTAACTAAACTCTAGTTATAAGGTCACCTTACTATTTATAGTTAGGTGTTTAAGTGTGGCCCCTTATAGAGGCCACCTAAATATAAATATCCTCATACTAGTTAATTAAGATTACTATAGTATCTATATACTAGCCTATTAGGCCGGTTTTTTATCATAAAACCACGTGATTATATGTTAAGGGTACCACGTGCGGTAGCATGTGGTTCTTAATATTTCCCCTGAGCTAGGGGCAGACCTTCTTTTGGACCTCTTTGTGCTATATCTTATATCTAGAATACGCCTATTAGGAGTAATTTATCCTTCTTAACTCTAGATCCTTAGTTTTTACTAGTATTTCCTTACTCCCTGTACTAGTTAGGGCGCACTAGTTAGGATAGATTATTAGTTAAAAAAGGAGCGCCCTATTTATCTATTTATTTTATAAATAGTCCTAGCCGCATAACAGACTATAGTTATACAGCAACATAGAAAGTAAACCTAAGTCAGAAACATATAAAAGATCAGTTAGTGAAAGTGTTTCTTTGAAATTTAGATTAGATTAACGTTCTTTTAATAAATCACGTTTATCTGCTTGCTTCTTAAAGGGATTTAGGTAGGATTTTCTTCTCTTCTAGATGCTAAATAAATATTATTATTATTATTAGAAAAGAGTATGTAATAGGAAATTAAATATCACTTCTTTAATAAACTTACGTAGAAAGCCTTAACCTTAGGATATACTATAACCTTATTTAGATTAAAGTTTAAAACTTATAATCCCTTTATACTTATTATATATAGAGTGCGATGTAAGCTTAGCTAGTCTTAAATACATGGTTAAGATCTACCTTAATATAGTCTAGTGTTTAACCCTGTGCTTTATATATACTAAGCGCCTATATAAGGAGAAGAGGGACTTAAATACGTATTACCAGCTTCTTAATAACCTAGCTGTCTACCACCTATAGTTCGGGCACCTATCGCTTAATAGCCTATTCCATAGGCTCGTAAAGGTGAACCTAGGTGCTACTATCTCACATTGCAAAACGGACCACTGGGTAGAGGGGTAAGCGTTCGTCTATCATCTCATCGAACGCACATAGGTAAGCGTCTGGCCGATTAGCCGAGCGGGAGCTTACCATCTCCAAAGTCGAGTCAGCGACGTCATCGTCGATGACGTCCGGCACCTAGGCTAAGTGTGAGCCGCGGCTGAGATCTTCAATTGGCAGGCGACCTCACCAGCGGGTCGTCCGGTAGAGTGGCCATTTTGAAGTCGACGATGAAGGATTCAACAGTCAAGGCGCAAGATGGCTAGTGCCGCGGCGAAGCTTTCGCGATATGTACGCTATCTCGATGTTTCTCTGGAATGAAGAAAAGGCCGCTTTCTTTGTGCGGGGTAGATCCATGGACCTGTAAGGAACAACTCGTGGGGCACTTTTCGATTAATGAAAACCGAGGTTCGTTAAACTCCTTGTATCAATACCTATACTATAGGCCAAAAGCAATAAGAAGAAAAGTAAATAGTATTATTCCTTGATGGACATGGAGTCATTTATTGTCAAAGATATTTACCGACATGTCCAAAGGTATAGGGTAGTTAAGACTAACGCCACTCCCTGTGGCTCATGCATGTCGTACAAAGGCTGCTCATTCCTATGGTGGCTCATTTAATACTGACGTAATCTCGAATCGTGGCTCGGTGATGTGGTTACGCTGGCTTACAAGAGCAACTAATCGGCTAGTTCAAAGAGGCCATCAAATAAGTTGCCGAGACGATGCCGATGTCTATGTTCTTGTGCGCCGGAAATCTAAACATTATGAATATAACTCTGCTGTATATTCATTATTTCCGACCGCTATCGATGACCTAGTAAGTCACATGCTGGGAGGCCTTATCATCACTAACCACATAAAAGGGAGTTATATCCAGTCCCTATCAGCCAATCATTTCACAGATGTGGGGTATATGTCGGTTACTCCTCGAAGTCAGCGTCTCTTGGTCCAATCTCCGATATTTATCCGAGATATGGAGATACCCTTTTCTGATCAATTAATGGACACTCTGCCAACTTAATCATCCTCACCACAAAGCGACACTCCCATTGTACCCAATGTCTGATCCAGAGATTGTACGACTTCGACGTGAGAACGAAGAGCTCAGACGCGAGAAGGAGGCAGCGGAGGCGCGAGAGGAAAAAGAGCGGCGCGAGAAGGAGGCGGCGGAGGCGCGAGAAGACAAAGAGCGACGCGAGAAGGAGGAGCTCGCACGCGAAAACCAGCCGACTACACTGGTTGAATATCTACGGAACTGCCATACCTATATCTACCAGAACTTCAAGCTTGCCGACAAGTCCGTATCCTCAACGGGGTCAAGGGTTGATGGCAAGTTCTATCCTATGCCCCGACTGGCCGGGTAGTCCCCTTGCGGTCGAGGTCATCATGTGGGACCCCGGCGTTGCCTCGCCGGGATTACGGCCTCATCAGTACCCCGTTCCAACCCCTGACCCTCGACGGTCAAGTCACCGACTCATGAAAGACTCTAATACTACCTTGCCTCTTAATATACGCGGTAGCAGGCTCATGGGCGTGCCTCAAGTCAGGTGTGTCAGCGAGATATCCAGATCTGATGTCGAACGGAGTCACCAGGCTTTGCAACCGACAATCGACGACGTTCCAAGCAATGAACCTGTAGAAACTATCACTGTGCCTGAACCTCAGCATGTTCTCCGCGCTAGTCTCAATCACAGATAGGCGATTCTGTGAACTCGACTTCAAGCTGAGATCAACGAGAGTCTATTTGTAATCATTGTAGGATTGTCCAATCACCTCCATGGGATGTTCATCATTACGGGGCAGACAATTAATCAGCAACTCGTTATCTCCGTCACCCCCACGTAGTATAAGACGTCTTGAATATTGCCAAATCTTGATGCATTTGGTACTGAATGTAGGTACAAACTAGCTCAAATCAGACGAAGCCTCCTAAAATGAAGCAATGGGTGACACTGATGGATGGAATCGATGGATTCCACATACAAGAAGTTCCGGAGCCTGTCGACCTCAAAGAAGATGAGGTCCTTGTCAGGATCAATGCGGTAGCTGTCAACCACAGAGATGTCAAAAGTATGTTGGCAATTACACCTAGTCTTATAGATGATGCTAATGGCTCCCTCCTATAGTCATTAATGGTGATTTCAAAGGACGTTATGCGGCTCCCGCCAGCCCGATGGTGCCAACATCAGACGCCAGTGGCACAATCGTCAAAGTGGGCGGGCCGGTGTCAGCAACAAAATGGCAAGAAGGGGATCGCGTCCTCGGGCTTGTGCGCCCAACCCATTTGACGGGCCCCACGCGTTCCGAACATCATGCTCTGGGCCTCGGATTTCCTCAATCGGGAGTCCTAGTTGAGTACCGGGTATTTTCAGCCTCCGGTCTGGTACAGATACCGCATAAATTGAGCTTCGAAGAGGCAGCAACACTTCCCATTGCAGCTACTACTGCATGGATGGCATTGAATTGGAATCGGCCCATTGATAAACCTGTACGAGGGCCTCAGACTACTGTGTTGTTGCAAGGTACTGGGGGTGTGACTATCCACGCTTTGCAGCAAGCAACAGCGTTTGGATTGACTAGTAAGCCTTCACTGCAAGTAATGCTTTTTCTAGGGAGCTAATCTGTAAAATTATAGCTATTGTCACATCTTCATCGGATGAAAAGCTGCTAAAAGCGCAAGAACTTGGGGCAACGTACACAGTCAACTACAAGAAAATTCCGGACTGGGCGGATGAGGTACTAAAACTGACCCAAGGAAAAGGCGCCGACATTATCGTCGAAACTGGAGGACCTGAAACTATGCCGCAAAGCGTCCGAGCTGTAGCTGAAGGTGGGATCATCAGTGCTGTGGGCGTTCTGACAGGAATGACCGAGGACAAGCCGCAGCCGGCGGTAGGACTGAGCTTGATCAACCGGAACGCGGCACTGAAAGGGATCAACATCGGCCCCAGGGACCGTGTAGAAGAGATGATGAGGCTGTATGAACAAAAGGAGATACATCCCATTATCGATCGTGTTTTTGGGTTTGACGAGGCCAGGGACGCAATAACATACGTAAAAGAGGGATCTCATTTTGGCAAGGTGGTGATCAGAGTCAACGAGGATTAATAGCGACCCAGTCCACCTTAGTTTGGGTGTTGACCTTGTTAAATGTCTCTAGTCTATACTCTACATGTATGCATTTGCCTATTTCCTAGCCGGATCATATTGTCCCTCGACATGCTTTAAGGAGTTATCTGCTCAACGTTGGAAAGCTTCAAGCGTACGTCTGACATAACTAGTGTCTATATGTAAAGTGTTTGTATTTGTATAATATCACCTAAAGATTGCTTTGTGCAGGCAACCCGAATCCAACAAAAGTGATAGCCCAGCCAAGATACTTGATCCTGTTGATAAAGGTTACTAAATCTAAGGGGCAATATTATTCATAAAGCATTCCCATATGCATGAGGAGTTTTATAGTGGTTTCACACAATTGAACCCATCTTGTAAGCTGTGGTGGTCTTTTCAGTTAACACAGCTCAGCTCTCTCCGTCTGATTGGGCGCAGTGTCAGCGGGTGAGAGACGTCATGAGCAAGGCAGCAACCAATCTGGACACATGCATGAGTGAGGCGGGGCGCTTTCCCAAACAAATCAGAAGCGAACAAGGCAGATTCGGGGCGGTGCCAGCTCAGCCGCAGCCTCAGCTGTCATGCCGTCCATCTATTTTTTCCGTTACCCCTCTTCAATACGGCAGTGGTTAAGAAGACACACCAAGTCACCAACTGATTTCCCTGACAGCTTTCCTGCTCTGCGGGTTTCTTTGTGTACTAATAACTGGCACTCTGCTCGCCAGTTGCTCTTGGCTTTCTCCTCAAGCGCTGCATCTCCGCCACTCCGCGACTCCGCCAACTCCATGAGGATGTGGGGAGACTCTTGCTAGGTCGGTGGAGGTATATCCAGCTTATTCCGCTGGATATGTCATATCCCAACGGGCATGGCGGGTTTCCAGGCCCTCAACCTTCTGGATGAGGGTCTCCAAAAAGGCCTTGCCGAATCCAACCAAGGGAAGGGCGAGACCTTCTTTTCGGCTTGCAGCTTTTGCAATATGTGGTATGTCACACTTGTCTCCGATGGATAGCGAGAGAGACGTGGCTGCTAACATTTCTCTGTATCTCTCAGGGCATTACGACGTTTGCATGGAACTTCGTTATGTTCCTCGGATCGTTCACCTGCATGGGCTTTGGTCTCGGAATCGTGGGCATTATTGACGTCGTTCTCGCGTCATTGCTCACGGTTGGAGTGGCTAAAGTGTCTTCACACCTTCCAGAGAGCTCGTTTTCCTGCACTCTCGACGATAACGGCTCCAGCAACCCAGCCTACACTGGAGATTTCTGCCGCAGCATGTTCCAGGAAAAGGTTACTGTCACCATTGTCGTGTATGTATACTAGTAAAGTTTATTCATTAGTTATACTAGTATCTAATAACCTCCTTTAGATAATAAAGTAGCTATTTATTTATTTAGGGTTTAAAGTCTAATTTTAGATGAAATAGTAATATAATCTAAATTCTACGACTAAATCCTTGTTTAAGGGTAGCTAATAATAGTGTGAGGTAGAATAGTCTTTATCTATTGGCTCTTACTCCGAAATAGCCCATTAAAGGATAGGAGGGTTAATTTATATTTTAGCCACTAAATGTTCATCCTAAATAGGCTTTAGGGTATATACTAAACCTCTAGTTTATATATATATAGCGTGCTACTTCTTATTATCCAGGCCTCTAATAATAAATAATAAGATGGTTATATAATTAGTATAGTCTGATAATTTAAAAGAAGCTACTCAGCATTAACTTACGGCTCAAAAGACACTAAACTCAACCCTCTCTCTACCAATTGAATTATAAGTAATAATCGGCAAGAATCTTCATGGACCCCCTTTGGTAAACGTAGTGCGAACTAGCTTGTAAGTGGATAAGTCCACGAGGCTTTACGCATAGTATACCTTTATCTGGTCCTGTTTTCTTGATGATCAGGACTTTTTAAAGGCTAATACGGCTATATAGAACGAGGGTAATTTCTTTATTCTTAGCTATGGTCTTTGGTGTCTCTATGAGGAAGTATTTTAGCAATCTAAACCTATTTCTAAAGCAATACATCTTCTACTATCCTCATTTCCAAAGGACCAATCTCTTTCTAGTATATTAAATAAGAGCCTTGAATTTTCAGATTTATATATCTCCTTAGAATAAAAAAATATAGACTTTTATGATAGACTTATAGTTGATGATATTGGGAAATACTTGAAAAATGATAATGGAAGGCTATGGATATCTATTATATACTTTAAGGATAAGAGCTGGGATATAAAGGATGTAAATGTAAAGTTTGTCTATTACTACGAAGAGAAGGTATCTAGTTAATATAAATACTCCTTCGAGATAATAAATTTAAGATGATGGGCGCTATGGCGATTAAGCGATCGGAAGACAATATGCCTGGAGGAATGGGTTGAGAATGATGTGCAAAGGCCACGGAGACTATAGCATCTGGATATAAGATCAGGCGGCTATATAGTTGATGACGAGTCTTGGTGGAGAGACTTAATTGCGTCTACGAAGCTAAACGGTAGATGGCGGAGTGTGTTTAGCAGTAATCAAGGCTGGTGGGAGTTTATATGTAAGGGGCTTAAGTCGGACTAGTAGTGCTTCATATAAACTAAGAAAGACATAAATAAGCTGAGATATAAGAAATAACGCGATTTCTTAACTTTATATATAAGAGTAGATATTTATAGATGGCTTAGGAAGCATATACACACTTAATCTTCTTTTATGGTATTGAAGCGGGGAGAGAGGAAGCTGTACACACATATAACACCCACAACTACAATAACAAAGGCATGTGGCACACAGCGGTTATCGCGTTAGTTGACAGCTTCATCACCCGCATTGTGATTCATCGTACGAAGACCTTCCTCGTCTTAAGCGATTAAGTGGATTGAGAAGAGAGGGAGAAATAGTAAAATCTCAGCTTAGTCTACTACTATGTACGTGATTGTGTTAATAGGTTTAAATAGCAGTCTATAATAGTTATTAATAAATAAAGTAACTCTTACTTATAATTAAGAATGTATAAATCTATATAAAAACTCTATCTAGGTATTAACCTTGTGACGGTTGGATGACTTACACTGGACTGGGTCTAGGGTAGGTCAAGGATGTAACCAATCAGAGATGTTCTGAGTGGGCGATCAGGTTGTCTTGGTGCTGTGCGAGTCACTGCTGATGTGCGAGCACTGAGGAGCTAGTTTCAATGAAAGCGGTAGCGATGGTATTGATAACTGTCTAAAGTAATGTTTCTATCTAAGAAATGAATGTGTATATATACTAAGTTGATATGCTTGATATGAGACATATCAATGGTGAGCGGTAGGTGGCATGGTTGATATGTAGCATATCGACCATATCACGTTTCTGCACGTGACTAGGCATGATGACTAAGGAAACTGCTTGTGTGACGCAGGGGTAGGTTCGTAACAAACCTAAGCACTAAGTACTAGTACTAGCGAAATTTAGAACTTCCTATTAAAAATTTTTAATAATAAATTTATGCTCGCACTGCAACTATACTAGCCCCTTAAGCTAGTAGAACAGCTAGTGGAAATCACGAGATAGCGTCGTTTCATTCATAAAAGGTGCCCCTAATATACTCGCTATTATCGTACTATATTACCTAGTTTCCAGCAAATTAGAGCAAGTATTAATCCCATGATTTACTCGATCTATTTACTAAGATGCCTTTAAATCTGCCTTGCTAGCTTTAATCTCTACTTTAAAAAGATCCTCCTTCGCTCGTATAATTTCCTTCCCTATAATAATATAATTTACCTTTTCTTCCTTTCCTATACCTAATATCTAGCCTTTAAAAACACGCTTAAAAACACGCTTCTTGGCGAGCTTGGGGTTCTTCATGCAGACCCAGCGGCGCTAATGTAAATTGGCTTGATCTTTGGATTGACAGCGGCTGCAGTGAGATGCGCATGATTCGACCGAATCTGGCAGGAAAGGCCTCAAGGCAACAAAATTGCGGGCATATGAGACCATGGCCAGGATATGGACAATGGACCTACCCCTTTACACAGCCAGCGATGACGTGTTCCGACTTGGCCGGAACATCGTGTTAACAAAGCGTGGCATCCTTCGACAGGGAGCACGTCAGATGGGCCTGCCGAGGAGGCCACGAAATCAAAGACGAGGGGTTCCGCGGTACCCGACAACGTCAACTACCCGACTCCTCATTAAGAAGGCTAGAGTTTCTATCAGAGAACTTCTAGTACGAGCCAGATTACCGGATTAGGTAGCCCCTGAGTGTCTACTTTGCCCATGGTCGGTGGTCAACCTCATTTAGAAGTCGTTAGCTTTTGGATGTGGTACGGCTAGTGGTTTTACGAAAGAGGTAATTCCACAACAGGAAGAACCAAGGCCAGATGAGAACCCCCAGGTCTTGCCTATAGCTCCATTTCTATAAGAAGCAACTCTTCCCCAATAATTCCAATAGAAAGACACTTATGAGATCCTTAGATATCCTTCATTTGTGTATTTCTTATTATATCCATCTTCTGCTACAATAAGTTCCCTTAGCCATGGCTATCCAATTCCAGAGCTATAATCCTACTACGAGAAAGTTCAACTCAGGGCCCCAGTTCCAACCGACTAGCCGGAGCTACGGAAATCCGGACGAGAGAACAAGCACGGAGGCTGCTATGAATGAAAATCCCGATCGGGAGAACAGCCAAGGGCCAGCTGCACTCCCCGTGGCATTACCTCAATCCCAAGATCGACCAAGCTCTCCAAGGGTGGATTCTTCAATGGCCGCACCTGCTTCTCCAAATGATGTTGCTAGGCAGGATGGGGCAGTCCAAAACATTGTCCATCAACAGGTCATTCAGTCGGACAAGGCCCCGGGGCCCCTACGAGCAAGACAAGAAGACTTGCACGGTGCACCAAACCTCGCAAAAGATGCCGACCAAGCTACAAGCAGCACTCCACATCATGAGGCCCTGGATCCAGCGTTAAGGGGCGTGGATGCTGACCAACACAGCCCTGTACCGATGTCTCTCGCGAACGCTCAGTCCTGGGCCTCCGAGCGTCATACACTCCAAAGACGTCACTCGGTATTATCATCAAGCCAGTGTGAGGACAATAAGCACAGTAAGTAAAGCCCTCCACTAACAAGTTCGGCCTACTAACGCAATATAGTTACAAATACGACTGGCGAAGTCATGGCATCCCAAGATACTGATATCTGTGATGGTGTATTAGCTACAACAAAGACTACTCCGCCGGAACAAATCCAACCCGCCACCAAGGTCCCCGACGGTGAGATAGAATATGAGATCGATGGGGAGCGAGAACTAGAAGGAAAGGAATTCATTGATGGCGTCCTACATTATATGGTTCCCTGGAAATCAACCCTTGTTCCAGCTAGTGATATGCGGAATTGCAAAGAGCTGATTGACAGGTTTGAGGCCAAGTATGGGACTCAGATTGCTAAGTCAGTGAAAGGGGCCAGGGTTGCGAAGAAGGGTGCCAAGAGTGGGAAGTTAAGCACTCGCCGTCGAGGTCGGCCCCGCAAGCAAATAGTGCAAGAGTTAAGCCAGTACATGGGTTTCACACATTTGGTTTTCTTTGTTTCAATCGTGTTCAAAGGGTTAGCGGAAAAGGTGTCTGTTGTTTTCTCTAAAGAGTTATTAATATATAACTCTAGATATACTAGCCTCAATAGCCATGGCTTAAGGGGCTAGGCTATAGATAATAAAAAACGCTACTCTAAGTTAAGAGTACCTAACTCCCTATATAAGTTCCCTATATATACTATAGAAGTACTACTTATATAAATAGAGATTGCCCTATTTATAGCCTACCTTACTTTAGCTATCTTACTATACCTATCTACTATCTAGCTATATTTAGTAAACTTATCTCTCTTTACTTCTAGTAGAGAAATAGATAATATATAGAACTTATAAGGCCTAGTAGAGAGGCTTATTTAAATCTACCTTACCCCTTATATATAGATATCCTATAGTTTACTAGTATAGATAAAGAAAGGAGTATAGCTATAGAGTAAGTACTATTAAGGGATATATATTATAATAGGATAATAGATATAGTAGATTAGGATTAAAAAAATACCCTCTCCCCTTATTTAAGGGGAATAAGTTAGTAAAGTACTACCTATAATTATAGTATACCTTAGGGGAAGCCTTAATACTATACTATCTATCTACTAAGAAATAGTATAGAGGCTATAATCCTAAACCTACCTATAATTAACTAGCCTTTATTTTAGATATATAAGATAGGCTCCTTTAACTAGTTTATACTCTCTACTCTAGCCCCTAATTCTATATCCCTAGTTCCTAATATAGCTATTTATTAGCTAGTATATAATCTTATATTAGTAAGGGTAATTAATAAAGAGACTAAGGCGTTTAGAGCTATCTTTTCTATATATACTACCTTAAATATCTTAATAATTTAAACCCTTCCTTTCTCTATACTTCTTCTCTTCTATTATTTATCTATATTTCCTTTTATTATATAGTCTTAGTTAGCTATTAATATACTATTTCTATTCACTCTACTATATAACCTTCTTAACTAACTTAAAAGGAACTATAAGCTATTAAGTATTAAGAGGACCTAGGAAGTCTACGCTTAAACTATTATCTCCTAGTTTAATAAATATAATAAGGCTATTCTATAATAAGGCTTAGAAGCTATTACTTTTCTATTATATCTCTTTCTTAAATAGTAACTAGATTATATTTTTAGCCTACTAATAATATAACTTAAAAAGATAATAGAGTAAGTATAATACCTTAGGTTATCTTAAATAAGTGATCTATAGAGGTGGAAAGCTAATAATAGTCTAGACTTTATATCTTATATTAAGTATATAATAATTATAATAAACTATAAACTTAGGCTTAGTCTAAATATAACTCTAGATAAGATTAATAAGGTCCTTAATTAGATTACTACCTTATTACTATTCTTATTTATAGTTCTAAAAGAGAGGATTAAATAGAAATATAGCTAATTAATCTAAAGGGATAATTTGCTTTTAAGATTATTCTAGAGACTATATAGTTCTAAGGCTAAGTAGATAATTTATATATTATTAAAGAACTATAGTTTAGCTTAAGTCCTAGAAATACTAATAATAAGTGAATTTTATTTCCTCCTACTTAACCTCCTTTAGTTCTAAAGCTTAATTTATACTACTATTAACCTCTTAAGCGCCTTAATAATTAAGTATATACTTATTTAACTAATAATAGATACTTATAATAGACTTAGGGAGGCTACTTACTAGGAGCTTAAGCTATAAGTTAGGATAATAACTACCTAATTAATATATAATAAGGCTAGAAGTATTAGATATTACTACTAACTAGCTAGCACTAAATAAATAAGTATAAAGTATAAGTATAATAAAGAATATTATTAAATTTATATTATTTAGACTAAATCTAGAACCTATATAAAGATTTTCTTAAAGAGTAGAAGAGACTTAACTATTAACTATATAGGAATCTATTACTTACTATAGGATAGCCTTAGACTTAATATAATAGAATATAAGATTAAGAAGTAGTATATATTAGAGGGTGAGCTATTAGTATAGAATAATAATTATAGGAGAATTAAGCCTTTCTATAAAATTTATAAATATATAAAGTAATTAGGATAACTACTTAGTACTACTTAAGATTTACCTATTAACTTAAGTAAGTATCTTATAATTATATTTTATAATATTCTATTACTAGATAATATACTCTATATTAAAGATAGCTATAAGATATAGAGATAATTACTTTAATCTCTAGTTCACTATATTCTAGGCTATACTAATATTAGATCCTATAAGATAGTTAAATTCTTATTATTTACTACTACTAAATAGCTTAATAAAATATTTACTTAAGCTATTATATAATAGTAGGAAGGCCTTATATTAAAAGGTTATAATAACTTATACTTCTTATTTAATATAAGTAAATTATTTATTAAGCTAAAAAAGGATTATATTCTAGGCCTTAGAGATACTATTAACTTTATTATTATTAGGGGAAGCTATAATATAAATAATAAGTAGGAGCTTAGAATTAGGAAGCTATAGTGGATAGCATTCTATATTATATATATAGAAAATAAAAATGAGCTGGGATATTCTAATTCTAAGCCGAGGTTTCGCATTGTCGATGTGGTCAACAGGCACAGTATCTCGAAAGATGACATCGTATACCTCAATCGACATGGATATTTCGGACGAGCACCGTTCGTCACGTCTATGCCGGAGTTCGACATTGTATTTGAGCCCGGACGGAAGCTGCAGCCAGCCGAGCTATTCAAATATCCGTTTACGGTGGAAGTGGTCGGCGCTGGCTTCGACAAACCTGCGAATGCTGCGCATTTTACTCTGCGATTTCCACGAGTGCTTAAAGTTCATGAAGACCGCTCGTTCAAGGATGTCATTAGCTTTGCGGAGCTGCAGGAGATAGCCACGAAGTGCCAAGGAACACCTGATGATCTACGAAGAGAAGAGGAAAGTTGGCTTCGGAGATTGCGAACCGGCGGGCATCTGGGCGGAAGATCGAGGAAGTCTCGCAGCGGCAGTTTATCTTCACCCGCCAATGGTTACGTAAACAAGCAAGGCACGTCGGATCGGGATGAGGGAACAACTACTAGATCCCTGCATCAAGGTAATACTTCCTTCCGCTCGCTAAAGCGGAAGATTTCCCCAGAGGAGGTCTTGGCTGGCAGCTCAATTCTCAAGCGAGCAAAGCAAGATTGATGTCAGGGATGTAATAGAGAATTGCCTATAACAGGAATGAGATGACCCGTCGCAAGAAATATACACTTTACTTACGCCGCCTTAAAAACATATTAAGATGGTCTGTACTCTTCCTCATGAACTCGCGCTAGTTCAAATGCTGCGATCTTCCTCGGGTTCAACCCGTAGAGCTCTTGAAAACTCATGATCATGGGGTGCCACAAATCCGGATCAATACGGTTCTTGTGACCAGCCATTCTGATGTTTTCTTCCACGTGGGTCCGGAGGACCTTAACCTCCAAGGCAATGAAGCCCTTAGCGTCGATATCCTGGCACATTTCGTTACTCGATGAGTGGGGATAGGCAAAGACAGCATTCTGAGGAAAAGAGAGCTATGAGAACAGCGATAAATTTACACTGTTCGTTTGATGGAATGTTAGAATGAAAGGCCTTGAAAGATCTGATAGGGCGTATCGAAAACTAGGGTATTAGAGAGATAGGCATGCTGTTAGGGCAACTTATGTATTGCGGACGCGTTGCAATGTCTAAAAAGGAGGAGGATGTCCTCCGCTATATAACATAACAAGCAGGCAGCATCTGGGATTTTCAGTTTCCAAGTATCTGTCGGCGGTCGTGGCTTGGCACTAATTGTTGTGATGGAGGCGGACCCACCCCACCACCCGCTCACAACTTAGGGAGCTTCCCGTCCCATTCCAGGTGCAAAAGCTCACTCTCGCATCACTTCTCGGCCCCTCCTCTCAGCCGAGGCATTCGAGGCCTCATCTGGCAAGTATCAATTCGCATCATTAGCCTGTAACAATACCGCGAGGCTATTGCCACGCTGAAAAAAGTTGCTGTAGTTACTCGTCTAATCATACGGCAAAAATATATCTTAAAGCGGGCGGCAAGGAATTGTGGTCTTCAAATAGTACCAACTGAAGCTACATTCACTTAATTAACCAACCAAAAGCTGAACTTGTGCCGAGTTTGCCGCGCAGAACCGCATGGAGGTAAGAGACCACAGCCTGACGCCTCAGATTCCATCAATACACCACCATCTTGTGCAAACGCCTCCACATGCTCGAAGGCCAAAGCAGTTGGGCATTCCTCCTTCCACATGAGTCGTATCCGCTTATTTGCAACCATCTCAACAGAGAACCCAGTCCGAAGGCTCGATTCCCAGCTCGTTGTTCTCATTCGTGAACAGCTTCTCCCTCGAGGAAGTGTCAGCCTCATCAACACTGAAATCGTCAACGAACTGAAAGTTAGTGGAGGGGAAATCTTGGTCTTGGTCTTTTCCATCTTCCAAAGCCGCGCCAGCGAGCTTGTCCGCTGTGTTTCTGATGCCATTATCCCACCAAATCTTCCGTACGCGTATACCCAAAATGAAAGGCGTAGAGGCGTCAAACCCGACAGCAGCGGCATCCTCACTCGTATAACCTGCACTGGCACCCCCAGATGCCCCCCCTTGGGGATCTGTCATACCCAACTTGCCATTGACCTTCGTAGTTTTCGCATTAGCCTTGGCCAGTTTCGCCCCAAACGCAACCTTTAGTCCCGTCACCATATATACTAGCAGCTTCTTCGTTTTCGCCACAGTAACGAACTGAGATACTGTGGGTAGCGCTAAGCTCTTTTGCATATACTCATCGTTTGGGCTGAAGTATCGCGTTTGTAGGCAGTCGACCGTGAGCGCCTCGTCATCAGATCTTTTGCGCAGGAGGCTGAGATGGCCTCCGAGACCTTCGAAGCTGAAGATCTTAGCCCAGATGCTGGCTTCGATGGCTCGAAGCTCCTTCAGTGTGCCAATTCACGCTTTCACTCTACTCCTTCCGCTTTACCTATATTAGCAGATCTGAATAACCCGAATCGAAGATAACGAAGCCTCAGCTTTAGAACTTCATCCGAATACTCTAACCACTACTGACTCCTCTTATAATAATAAATAACCCTATACTTCCAGTATATACTATACTATAGAATAGTATTAGTACCTAGTAGTTCTCGCTATTCCCTATACTTAGGATATTCCCTGAGATTAGTATTCTAGCTAATATCGCTAGACTAATAACCCTATATATAGTCCTATAGCGATTTATATAATTTTCCGTGTAGTATAGCTATACTATATATATAGGGGTTAGGCTATACGCCGAGCTACTAAAGAACCTATAGAGTATAGCGAATATAATAGTTACTATAGCGCTAGAGCTAGTGTTAAGCTAGAGCCTAAAAATCAAAAATATATATATAGCTAAGTAGAGAATTATAATATTAAAATAGCTAAGCCTATTAGCTACTAGACTAGGGATACTATAGCTAAAGATTAAGGTAGCATTAAGTATAGTAAGAATATAAGGAGATATATTATTAAAGCTATAGGAGGAGGAGTATATTATAATATATATAGGTGGGATAAGAACTACCTAATTAAGGATGAAGATAGCGGATATAGTAAGTATAAAGTATATATCCTTAAAGCCGCCCTAATTAAGGATTAAAGGAGCTTATCTATTTCGCGGGAGATATATCTTTAGAAGTAGTAAGCTAATAAGGAAGTAGAAAACACTAAGTAGGGTAAAGTAGTAGATTAATTACGTAAAACTAAGTCTTAGTGTAAGCTAATTAAAGAGAATAGGGAAGGTGATGCTACTAAAGCTGCTAGCTATTATTATAAGGCTAGTTATAAGGCTGTAATTTAGCTAGAACTAATGCCCTAAGGTAGTAATATTAGAGGTCTATAAGATAGAGGAGGTAATACTACTAAAGATACTAAAAGTAAGGAGAAATTAGTAATAGGTTTTATAGAAACTTATATATATTAAAGAAATAATAAGGCTAAAGGCTCTAGTAGATAATAATAATCTTAAACTATAACTATTAAAGATAGGTTTAATCTATAACCTACTAAAGAAGTAGAGGAATATAAAGATACTAAATATCTAACTAACCTTACTTTCTAAGTAGCTTACTAATTAGTTTTTAGAGAGGTATACTTAGAAAATACCTATTAAGTTAAGTAGTCCTAAAGCTAGAAAGAGGGTAAGCTAAGTACTAAGGATAATACTATAGGCTTTTAGGCTACGCTTAGGATATACCTTAGCTATAGATATTAATATCTATAGTATATTAATTTCTTCTATTATTAAGGTATATATATAGTATTATAAGAGGGAAAAGCTTTATAGTTTAGAGCTTAGAGGCATTAAAGTATAGAACCTAGTGTTAGAAGGAAATAATTTAAAGAAATTAGGAATTATAGAAGTTTGTGATGAATTAACCTTAGTGATTAGGTAATATATTAAAGGAAGGGCGTAGAGATATCAGCTAAGGCAAGAAATATAATACGATTGGTCGTAAGTAATTAGTCTAGCACTAGATTTAAGTAATCGCTAGTTATATATTCGTTCCGCTTTAGGTTAATTATGCCCACAGCCCTCTTCCACTGAGTTATAAAAATAGCAGTGAAAAAAAAAATTGCGCAAATAGTCCGTCGGAGGATTCTTCTTGTTCCGTCCTTAGTCTCTATAACCCCAGACCTGGCACTGAGTTCTTATGTCAGTATGAAACGCACTTTCTTCGGGCGCTGGCCGTGGATGAGACCCTTAGCATGGTGTTACATAAGGCGACATGGTGCTAGTACAATGAGCAATTTATTTGACCAATCACATAGCCAATTTTCAACTTCTGGCAACGTGCAGGCCACCTCTGATTGGTCTCCTAGCTACAGTGTGATGACAAGCTTGATTATTAACATATGCTAAATTACAAACAAAAAAATATGCGCATCTCGAATATTGAGCGGTGAGCTTTGGCTGAAACAGTGGAAGCTTGACGAAGCCCACACATCTATCAAGTTCAAATGTAGTTTCGGAGTATACGGATGTCACAAGGTCTTGCATCAACATACAGAAACCAGGGACGATGGGCAGAGGCAGAGAAGCTAGAGGTGCAAGTGATGGAGATGAGCAAGACGAAACTAGTAGCTGATCATACTTTCTACGCTGAACAACATGGACAACCTAGCTTTCACTTGCAGAAAGATGGGTTGCCAACTTTGTCACAGTCGGATTCCTAGAGTCAGCCGAGTCGGCATTGCTACCTGGACCGTCAGTGCAGCAGATCGGATTCATATGGATGTCCATGATCCCCCCAGCTCAAGGCATTCGTACAACTGGGGTTCCACAATCTCTACGTGCTTCGCGACATACCATCCAATCCATATCTGGTATTGCCTTGCCCGAAAAGCTAAGGGCTACATACTGTTATGAATAGCATCACTCCGCGCCTTATTATATCCGATAGCTATCTTCGAGCTTTGTTTTTTGCTCGGCTATTTCTCTCTATCCAATTGTATGACCAGAGGCGCTTGATTGGTCCGAAGAGGTTGTGTGTACTGTTTGGCATTGAGGCTCTGCTGACCCATCCCCCATTAAGGCTAAGGCAGAGAGAAAGATTATTACGCCCTGTGCTGGCGCTAGCGTAGTTTTCGTCGAGAATTGGGCACAAGTTTGTTTCAGGGGCCGCGAGTGAAATGCAAGACAGGTTGTCTTGCCGGCCCACCCATCGAGGCCGAAGCAAAGAGCCTGCTAGCCAATGTCTCCTTTACGTCGAATATATTTTCCTTGTGTACCCGATCGAAGACCTAGCATAGCTGAAGGTTGACAAACTACGTATTTCGCCTCAACTCTTCTTGCCCACAAACACAATGAATAGTTACTACTACTTAGATGAATTCCTCTGCATTGTAAGATAGTACGATATGAGAACGCAGATTTATATACTAGCTGAAGAAAGAAATGGAAGCAATTTCGCAGAGTTGGTGCATTTAAAAAGACTGCTAGGAATTCCAAAGACCAAGTTTGCCACCAAGAAAGGTTGCGGTATTCAGGAAAAGTGCCCATGTAAAACAAATCTTTTCATCTTTCCAGGAAACACTTGAATAACAAGGTGATTAGGTTGCCAACAACATTTTGGAACAGAAAACAGTTATTAATGCCTAGGTTGCCAGCAACCATTGGCAAAATCTGCAAACAAATAGCAGCAAAGTGCTCCGGGGCAGCCAAATGCAACTCAGCCACACATTGCGGGACAAGCCACATCGCCGGACAAGCCACAGTTGTCCGATCCACGCGAACGAGATTCCCTACATCCGATATGAAATGATTCCATGCTCGCGGTGAGTTTGCTTCAAACGGTCGCCGCGGCCAAATCCGGTTTGTGATAAACCTCTGCAACCTCGTTGAGGATATCCACAAGGTTTGCCTAGCGAAATAGCGTGACCCGTTCAGTTTCCTCGCCTACATCCAAATTTTGGGCATGTCGCCTGGATACCGTCTGGGATATGTAAGCGCGTAACAGCTCCTCGGCAGCTTTCGAATCGAGATCCGCTCCATAGATTGTGCACGCGAGGGAAACGACGGAAAACACAGTGAGCACTGCCTCCCCACCATGACGGACACATCTGACGCGAAGCGAAGATTCAGAAGTGCCACGCCCCTTTTCCACCCTGGTAACCGTAATCGAGTCGGTAGTGAATGTGAAAAGAGCATATCTCTCCTTATCCGTTCCCCAGTCTTTCACCACGCGGTTAAGATCCTGTGCTAAGTCTGTTAGTCGCTCGTCATGACATGCTGCCTCTAGGCCACGGAACTCTTTTCTTTTTTTCGCGGTAGATGAGGAAGGCCACGATCCTTTGTTTGGATTGGTGGGTCTTTTCTTTGGTGGCTTGACACAGACCACCGCCTCAACTCGGTCAATGGAGGTCGCTACCTTAAGCTGCCTTCTAGCTTCATCCTCCCTCTCCACTGCCGCTGCCGCTGCCAGGTCTGCCTCTGCCTTTTCCGCTCGTGTCTCCGCTTGTTTTCTCGACGAAATCATAAATGTCTCGTTGCTTTCCAACCCCTTTGCACGGCCCTCCGCCAAGATTTTGGCTTGCACGGCTTGTTCAGCGCGCTTCTCTGCCTCCTTTCTGGCCTGCTCTGCATCCCCAGCCCGACGTTCTGCGACGTCTCTGGCGTTGACCGCCAAGTTCCTTTCTTTCTCGAGTTATTGCGCTCGATGATGCGCGGCGGCCTCGGACTGATTGATCATGGCAACCTTTTGCAGAGCCGCTTCCTTATCCTGAAGTGCCTTCTCGACTTTTTTACTGGCCCATGTTTCTGAAATAGCCGCAATTTGTTGCGTCTCTTCTACTAGAGAAATTGCTAATCTCCTTCCATCCTCGAGCTCTCTGTTTTTTTCTTTGAGCTTGCTGTTTTCTTCTGCGGCTGATTGCAACGCCGTACAATTTTGCTGGATTTGTTCATCCTTTTCCAAGATTGCGAATTCCAACCTCTCATACCTTTCTTTGATTTCTTCTAGACGCTGAAGCGCTTCCGCGTTTTCTAACTCCAAATTCTGGAGCCGCTCTTCCATCATCATCATTGTCTCTTGACTCGCACGCTCGATGTCCCGTTTCGTTGTCATAAGAAGCTGATTGACGGCCGCTGTCAGTTCTTGCGCGCAACTGTTCACTTTGGAAACGACCTCCAAGTGACTTGGCATGCCTTGGTATCGGCTTGACTGATGGTGTACATCAGTACTCAGCGTGCTGGGTGTGCTGGTCCTCGGACCCTCCATTATAATGCGTATACAATGTCGAGCCCGTACAAGCAAACACAGCGTATAGGTCAATAGTGAGGAAAGGAACAAAATAGTCGTACAGATCGCCCAGTTCAGACAGTGAAGAATAGTGCTGGCGTCGGGGTAATCTCCCGCAAGCCGAGTAGAGAGGATGGTGACGGGAGAGTATGAAGGATAAAGAATAGTAAATCATTACGCTAGATGAGGGCGAGGGTCGAATCTCTTTTTGCATAAATGAAGGAAAGTGAACTAGGGTGAAGGAGTTGTACGTGGAGTTGCCGGGTCTTGCGCTGGCACAAGTAGCAAATCGGACAAATGTGAGAACAGTGACAAGCCAAGAGCATTACTAAACCATATATATATATACATATCAGGGTTCACATTTTTTCCATACTATCTGCCTTCACCATGGTCCCGTCCTGCAGAAGTATAGGTCGAACACACTCCTCCACCATAAACACGCGTGTGATGTGTCCCGTTGCCGTCTAGAACGCTACCAACACCCAGACTGTCGGCTTCAGCCTCCTGTAATTCTTCTTTCCCAGGCTTCTGACCTATTACTCTTACCCTGTTTCTAGTTAGTACAAGTTGTCCCTAGGGGCTGGGCAGACCTACACTTCGATATAGGGCCACACGTCAGGGTCTTCCAGCTCCCTCTGCATTTTTTCTGATTGTCTGTTAATTTCTTCTTCCGCCCAACCCAACTTTGAAAGTCTGAACTCGTTGACACCTTGCAACTTCTTTATTGTTGCATTCAAGACGTCTTGGCCAATCCCCTTCTTAGAAGTCGTTGACGGTCCTAGGTTCGCATAACGCCTAATCTGGGATACACTCACAAGGCCGGCTTGTTCCATGTACTGTCGACAAATTTTCGGATCCGTAATGCCAAATGGGCGGCCCATGGTTTTTCCAAATTCACGGGTTGAAGCCATTCATCGTTCTCGCTGGTTTTTTTAGGGAGAGTGGTATCGCAGAACTCCACATAGCCTCCTTCTCGCAGAGATCCAAATACCTGCCGAAAAAGAGCTGGCCAATCTTCAATACATCCAGCAAGCCCTCGGATGTGTACCAAATCAAATTCCTCAGGCCGAAATGTCCAGGGATGATTAGCGTCGTCGATGTAAGTCGTGCATCGACGTGGTACCATATGGGGCTGCATTGGATTTATATCCATCATCACCACCTCGGTGCTTGGGTATTTTTCCAACAAATTCCTTGATAAAGTTAATCCCAGTCGATGCATGCTTAAGAATTTGCGACTGAACTCACAACGCCCATTCGCCAGAGCCAGACCCAATATCCAACACCTTATGAGGCTCTTCGATAGGCGCTCGGAAGAGCTCTCCCCTTCGAGCTGACAAAATATCGCATGTCTACTTCAGTTAGCACCTGAAAACCATCGAAGCTCAAGTAGCACTCACTCAGCCTTGATCTCTTTCCGTATTTGCGGAGCGCCGAGCTCGAATGGGTCAATGTGTCCCAGTGAGGTTGATGAGGAGTTACCTCTTTCCGTCAGGACCAGTGTTGTTGAGCTGTATCCGAAATCGTGAGAGGTGTGTCTACCCACCAGGACTGATGGGGCCGGGTTTCTCATGTAGTCGCGAGGAGATACGGGCGTTAAGCGTCGAGGCTCTTCACTTGGATGTCGGCGCCGCCAGCACTTCCATAAGCATTTCTCGGCAAGCAATAACCCACAGAAGCTGCATTGGGTGCTGTAGAATGCAAGATGAAATGTTGAGAGGGGATACTTCAAGGCGAAGCCAAGTACCACGGCTGGCACCACGAATGCAGTCCAACTGATCACAGTCAAAGTATAGATGCGACGTTCAATGGGAAAACGAGTTGCGGAATCAATCTGTAGAGTCGCATAAGTCGCTAGAACACCATAGGCAAAGTACGCTGGCAAAGGAATAGCCCATATGCACAGCAATGGTCGCGCTTCATAGTTTGTGAGCCACAGCACTGAGGTGATAATGGCCACAAGGAGGACTATGCCTTGCAAGACTGCGCTTGTGTAGTAGATGATCTCTCCGGTCTCTCCACGCCATCTCGTACTAGGCTGAAGTAAAACGTTTCCCCCTCTCGTCCATAACTGCCTGGCGGGAAAGAGAACCGTTGTATTCTGCGAGTATTAAGTCTTCATTCTCTCAGCTTTTCTCTGAAACTTACCAAAAGGAATATGCAAGAGGTTTCTTTGATTACCTTGCAATAGAGAAGGCACTGATAGGCAAGGGGTTGATTACTGTTCTTGAGAATTCCAACACCAATAAGCAATGCAATTTCGGAAGCAGTACAAATCACCCAAAATGCGAAGGAGTATCTGTACGTGCTGAGAAAAGCCCGGAGGGTAGCGTAGGTGTGGTTCCCAACGAGAGACTGCTTTCGGTCCCTCCAAGTTGGGTACCCAATCTCAACAAAGTAAGCAAATTGAGAAAGAAGTACAATAATGGAAGTGATGGCTACTACTGTAACCTCAGCGTCAGTAATTAGTTGCATATTAGGCTCGCGGGAAGGCAACCGTAAGACAAGATGACCTGTACCACTCAGAAGTGCACTTTGCTGCAGGACACCAGGATATATGTATCTCATGCTTCTTGAAAAAGTAACGTGACTGGGCCACCAACGAACCATTTTCCTCCCTTAGTTTTCATGGAAAATAGCATGGGTCATGCGCATCAATGATGAATACGGAAATGATCGATACATCGAACGATATGCAACCGCTCGGACTCTCAGGTCCGTGGCGAGGAGGACATGCATGGCACCTTCTGGAGAAGACCCGCTTTTTCAGTCCATCTTTCAAAGATGGACTGAAAAAGCGGGTCTTCTCCCTCAAGCTGCAATGTTTCTGACCCCCGTATTGTCTCTTTAATTTATCCAACCGTCACATATTAGCGGTAACAACCAGCTTTTTATATATATGTAAAAAGTTCAAATAGTTGATTTTTATGCTTGATGCCAACGTAAGAGGCAAGGAAAGAAAGTAATCTATGAGATTAATCACTAATGTCCCTAGTTGTAAAGTACATGCACCAGCTTGAGTTAGCTATATAGAGCTTCTTATTTGAGATGCTAGATGATATATTAATGGCTCCACATTGAATAGGTCTCGGAATACTAATTGCTATTTGTAAGTTAGTAGAAAATCACGCTTTGCTTTTCTAAGGTTGTGCAGAGCGCTCCTCGGTGCTCGCATATTAGCAGTAACTCGCACAGCACCAAAACAACCTGATCGTCCCACTCAGAACAACTCTGATTGGTTCAACCCCAACCTACCCTAGACCTCCGTCCAGTGTAAGTCGCCCAACCGTCACATATATTTTATTATTGTATTTTTCTTTATTGAGTGCCGGTGGGATTTTCTAACTAATAACACCACAACCAAAGACCTTGTAGGTCCGCGATCGTGATGTCGGCGTCGGTCAAAGAGGATGAATTACAACTAAGCCGTGTAGTTAAGATGAACAACTATAATTAATTAATATATATTTAGTGTTTAGTTAGGGACTCCCGCATTTAATTAATTAAATAAGACTATCTAGGTCATTATATAAGCTAAACTAGCTGTATAAATAATAAGATAAAGATCGCGATTTTAAAAATAAAGAATAATTTAAGAGTAAAGACGTTCTTCATTTTGGAAGAAGCAGCCTGCTGCTGCTTAAGTAGTAAGAGCAAACCATTCTAACTAACTAAGGAGATTACGTACGCTCTCATTAGTCATTAGCTTTAGTTTCCTTCTTTATAAGGCAGATGGCCTAGCCCAACCCGTTTGAATGGAATAATTCTTGCCTTTTACTTATTTTTTATTCTTGAAATCGCGATCTTTGACTTGTCATTCTACGGCTAGTACGGCTTGTACAAAGACTAGGATGGTCTTATTTAATTAATTAATTACAGGAGTCCCCAACTAAACACTAAATATATATTAATTAATTATAGTTGTTAGTCTTAACTACACGGCTTAATTGTAATTCATCCTCTTTGACCGACGCTGATATCACGATCGCGGACCTATAAGGTCTTTGGTTGTGGTGTTGTTGGTTGGAAAATCCCACCGGCACTCATTAGTTAGAATTATAACAGAAGGCTAGAACCTAAGAGAAGGGAAAGAAAATTCATATGGTAGATTATTTCATTAGTGAAGATTATAGCCTCTTGTACCTTTACCTGACCAGCCCTAACTACTGAAGTGTTACGAACAAAGGCCTCCTGTTGGGCCGCAGGAAGTCACGTGTCGGAGGGGAACTCCGATAAGATAAGACTGATCCGTCACTCGGGATGAGTGACGGGCAAGTGACAAACAAGTGACAACCCAAGTATATAGATTCATTTCATTTCGCTTCTACACACACTCTCTTAGACAGTTATCAATACAATCACTACCGCCTTCATTGAAACTAGCTCCTCAGTGCTCGCACATCAGCAGTGACTCGCACAGCACCAAGACAACCTGATCGCCCACTCAGAACATCTCTGATTGGTTACATCCTTGACCTACCCTAGACCTAGTCCAGTGTAAGTCATCCAACCGTCACATGAAGTGACTATGCGGGCGGCACTGCTTAATGGCCCTAGCCCTCCATTAAATCGAATCCAAATAAGGTATAAAGCCGATTAACTTATGCCTCGAAGGGGAGGCATAATCCCGCAAAATCAAACTAATAGCCATCATGCATGCTATGTTGTAATGCCCGACGTACCATTCTACTAAGGGGAGCCCTCGGATAAATATAAGTGTAGAGGAACGCTAAAAAAAAGAGAGGGGGGGGGGGAAATCGAGCTGGGGACTGTGGTTGAAGCGGCTAACGACAGTATCTGGCGAGATAGAGAGGGAAGGGTTGAGTAGAATATGGCAGAGGAGCAGCTGCTAAGGGGGAGGGAGGGATTACTCATTAAATCCGATCCCAGGGCACGACCTGCAGCTAGTCTCTCCTACACATGACCAGTTTCAGCAAGCCGAGCTAATGGTCCCTCTCCCATACCTACGCCCCCTTAGCGGCCGTCGTCTGGCAAGAGCCAATGGCTGAAGAGGCATAGTTCTTAATAATTCAGATAATATACAGCTTTTCTTTAGTTCTGCAGCAGCTACTTCAAGCTTAGCTAGGCCAAGCAGCAGGTCACTTCTCGAATTACATACAGGGTTGACCGAAAGGAGTGTCCGCTTTTTTATTCAAAAACACATTAAAAGAATGGCTGTTTTTGGGCGAGGTGTGGCTGATCATAGTGCGGGGGAAAATATTACACAGTAATGGTAAAGTCACTCTTTCGCTATGGCCCACTATGACTCATAGGCCTTTCTTTGTTACTTGTGCCACCAACCGGCTGTTAATGACGTTGCACGCCTGAGGTTAGATTTTTCCATCCCGCTAGCAATGGGGCCCGCGATTGCACGGAGGCCCATAGCATCGGAGCAAGTCATAGATGTACCTCATATCCCTGTAGAATCACAAATATTAGTTTTCCGCAAACCACCTTGATCTATGTATGTATATAGTTTAACAAACGACTTTACCTGTAATCTTGTACCTTCTTATTCATGGACCCATAATACTAAAAATAGGTATATATAGCCTATATCCCGCTCTCATGCGATTAATTTTAAAAAACATTTTGGATAGCCTAAGAACGAGGTTAATAATGAATAACCCGCTGAACATCAACCCTGAACCAGCTCATGAAGTATCTCGGCTGCCCCTTTTATATGCTGTAAAAAACGGCGACTATAATGACGTTTGTGATCTACTAAATGATAATTATAAGGAGCTCAATGAGTTGTCATTTTCTGACCGGTGATTCTAGGGTGGGATTTTACTCCACCTCCGAGGAAATGTTCTTGGTTGGACGCGTGCTAGCTCCAAGTACAAGTTTCTTCACTTCATTGTAGGGCGACATGACCTACCTTTCTACTACCCCGAGTCGTCCGAGTTGCAGCTGTCCTTTTTCAACTGTTTCTTGAAGGATAACGATGCGGACGGTTGGAAGTCCGGGAATCAACCTCGGGTTCGTCTGACCCTGCGCAAGGGAGAGGCTGGGGTGGATGATCCGGAGAGAGAGCGAGAATTTCCCAAGAGAGATGAGGCAGACTGGCCGTTGCCCAGGACAGAATACACAAAGTTTTACCTAACTCCAGAAAACACGCTAAGCAAGACTCCATCTTCATCCACGAAGACAGTCGAATACGATGCGCTCAAAGGGTATGCCGATCGATCTCCCTCTCTAGTGTTCAATAAAAACCATCGTACTAACACTTGGCTCCCCCAGGGCTCCCATTCAGTTTTATTACAAGTCCTCGTCCTCGCTTGAAATAACCGGCCACATTGTCGCCCACTTGACTGTGTCCTCATTTCGCGAATCTCCCGCCGCGTCTCCCCCATTAGAGATCGATCTCTTTGTCACCCTTCGCAAGATCAACGCCAAGGGAGAGGAGGTCTTCTACACCGGTACAATGGGTGATCCTGTGCCTGTCGTAAAAGGATGGCAGCGAGTCTCACTCCGGAAGGTAGATGTCAATAACATTCTTCACAAAGACTACCTCCCTCACCGCAATTACTATTCGACCGAGGTACAGCCTGTGGAGGAGGGCCAGAAGTACGAGGTGGATGTTGAAATCTGGCCAACTAATGTGGTCCTGGAGCCAAAAGAGAGCCTAGTGCTAGAAGTTGCTGGCCACGACACTCAGGGTGTTGGCAAATTCTCTCACGAGCATCCTGATGACCGTAACCCGAAAGTATTGGACGGAGTAAACATCATAACTGTTGGCGGAGAGGCAAGCTGGCTGACTCTTCCTATTATTCATTCTAGCCACTAGATAGTCCGATAGATGCCTAAAATGAATCTGATGGTTCAATAGAATTCACTAGGGTTTATAGATCTTATATAGTCCAGAAACGAATACCTTCCTTCCCAGCTATTTGCTCTACTCTTTATAGAAGCCCCAAGAGATAGCTTTTATATTAAATTGATGAGCCGGTGTCCTGACGGCAAGTGAGTTGTCCGTACGAAGGTTCATAGAATTTTCCTGCCGTATAACTACATCTTGGGCGGACTAGGAAAGGCTATATTTTTTAAGCTTTCATAAATTCATTGTATTGAGCTGTCGGGTCCTGGCAGCTTCATTGTTATTAACCTCTATTCTCTTGCTCTTCCGTATAGAAGCCCTATGTATTATCGGTGGTTATTTAATGTAATTTAAATAATACAAAGTTACGCACTTTTATTAAGAATGAATAGTTCTAGTAGTCTAGTTCAGGAGTCAAAGTTATCCCAGGAGCTTAAATAGAAGGTTCACGACCTAACCTTAACCTAGATCATTTACTTACTATCAAATCTCAGCGCCGTGACCCTCTTGACGTAAATTGAACTCCATTGATAACAGTGAATGCCTACTCAAGAGCCCTGATGCCCGAGGTTTGCTTGAATACTACCCAAGAGACTCCAACCACTCACAACCCCACAACCTCAGTCATCAAACAAACATCTCGTCTTTCTTAAATGCTCCGATTCAAAGAAATCTCTTGGCACCATATCGTTGATGAATAAGAGAGGCCTTTGTCCGAATCCACGGCCCAAATATAATGAGAATCACAGAAAGTGCGGCAATCAATGCCCACTGGATAATAGCCATCTGCAAGAACAGTTTCTCGACGCCGACTCTCGTCAACCAGTCCGAGGCAGTCTCTACCAGACCAAAAGAGATCAAATGCGTCACAGCGTTCATCAAAGCTACAACTTCCGATGAATCGTACGGGTAACTGTCTATGGCGTAAGACAATACCGAGGTAGGTATAAGCATAAGGCCGGCGGCCTCCATGGCGTACCCAACTGCTGGTCCTACATAGGAGCCTTTGGGGTAAGTATATCCGAACAGTAGAAGGCCTGGTGAACAAATCACCAAGGGGACTATCAAGGTATAGAGGCGATACTCGGGCATATGCTTGCCTTTTCTTCGACCAAAAAAAGAAGAAAGGGCGTCCGTTAGGGGACCTGCAATAGGAAGTGCAAGGAAAACCCCTATAAGGCTCGTGCACGCCCAATTCCCAAGTTGAGCTGGGCCCCAGAGGAAAGGTGGTGGAGCGAATAGCTGGTTGCAGATAACCGAGATAGTAGCGACCCTAAGAGATATCAGCAGGGTTTGAGGGCGGCTTTGAAATAGTGAGCCCTACCATGCCAGTGCGATCCCCCACATGCCAGCAGAGAGTAGAACGATAGGATCGAAGGCATACTCTATCTGCAATAAGAATGAAAGGAACCATTGTCTCGCCCCTCCTCCACGTACGTGTGGGTGTCTTTTGTAGAACGAATTCTGACGCCAAGTCTTGATTGGACTCTGGCTGGGGCCCAGACGGCCAGCCTGGTCAAAAATGTCCGCGTCAAAATCTGCGCTCGTGGCACCTAATTCGACCTTGACGTTGAAGGCTGTTTCGGGGCAAAGAAAGAGAAGGGTAAGAAAGTTTACACCGCTGAGGATGGCCACAAGAATAAAGAACCACTGCCAACCTTTGGCAGCGATGAGATGGCCAGCAATAAGGGGACTGCCCTGAGCTCCAAGGCAGAGGCTTATTGAATATGCGGCCATAGCTTTCGAGTAATTCTTCTCAAGGAATATCTCTAGAGAAGAAAGAACATTTAGTTAGAGCGAAGCTGGTACGCGGTAAGTCATGGGTCTCACCTCCAATTACCGCGGGACCGACAGCCTGGACTGCGCCAGCTCCGAGCGCGCCAATAATCCGGGATCCAAAAAGGCTATTCATGGTCGAGGCTTGTGTAGCCCAGATACAGCCAGCCATGAACATACACTGCGAGGCTAATAAAACCGGACGTTTTCCAAAGACAACAGCAGTGGGAATCCAAAGAAAAGCACCCAGTCCAATACAAAGGACACTGTATGCGACAATCTTGCTTGCTTCTTTGTAGTTACTATTGAAGTCATGTACCAGGGGAGTCAGTCCCGCAGAGATACCAGCCTATTCCAGCATAGGGATTAGCTTTAGCTCAAGTGCATCTATAAACACAGGAAGTTATACCGAGTAAAAGTTGCCGCAAAAAACCATGAAACAAATATTAGTGAGGACCAGTGCCTTGAGAATCCAGTTCCATGTCTGTATATGTGTTAGTGGTGGCCTGTGTCCAGGAGTAGTGACGAGTTACCTTGGGGTGATCACGTAGCTCCTGAGTGGTGGAATCAGAGCCAACATGTTCGACCCGGGAGACCTCTGCCTTTTCCGCGTTTGAAATCTCCATTGCAGGTGTTTTGGAAGCCAAATAATTTAATGTTATCAATATGTCAAAGCTAGAGAGAAGAGAACTTCGGTATTTAAGCAATACATGCATATCTTCTTGTAGCGCTAGCCTTATGTCTAGCTTCATTATACCAAACTATTGAACTTGGTTCCCATCCAAGCCCCTCCGCATACTTTCCCTTACCGGTGGGGAAGTAATCTTTTCCTCGCCCTGGCTAGGAGTGGAAAGCCCAGCTACATCAAGTTTCACATGGAGGATTGTGCGGGTAAGCTTGTGTTTCTCTATGTTGGTAATCAACCCCGCACTTTTCGGCTCCACGCCAACCGATTTTGCGGGGGTGGAGAAACGATTTCCGTTTCGGTTCCGGAAACATGACCCAGATTTCCGAGCATATATTCCGAGCATGTCTTCCGAGGCTTCCTATACAATACCAGACTTATTACTTTGTTATATGTACAAGTGACCAAAGCAGACCGGACACGCCGTCTACCATTCTCAATCCACCAAAGCGTCATTTGATCCCCGTTGATAACGCACTCCCATTCAACACGAAGCCTCCTCATTTGTAGCACATCAATATCACGTGGATATTAGCAATGGGTATCAACCGTATTGTCCAGTTTCAATTCAAGTCGGACATCGGCAACAGTGCTGTCGACGAGGCTAGTCTTAAAATCCGCCAACTCTCCAGAACAGTCATTTACTGACTCTTTGGATATTTAGATTTCTGCCAAGATCCAAGCTCTTAAAGATCAGTGCGTACATCCTGAATCGAAGAAGCCATACATTCGCAGTATCGAAGGTGGCGCCGATAGTGCGCCGGAAGGTCTTCAGGTAAGCTTTCTTAACATCCATATTCGACTATATATACCACTCCATTCCATGCTTATTATTGACTAATAAACTATAACAGCAAGGTATTACTCATGCCTTCGTGATACAATTTGAGAATACAGAGGACCGCGATTATTATGCCCTTAAAGACCCCGCCCACCTTGCCGTCGTGGCAGAGCTGGGCCCCTTCTTAGAGAAGGTGCAAATCATTGATCTACCGAGGCATGACTGAATACATTATATATTTCTTGAGATCTCATTAGATTCCGCTCTCTAGTTGAATTCCTTGGAGAGTTAAACTAGATAAAACATATAACTACTAATGCCATTTGGCATTGTTCATTTCAAACACTCCACCCTGTACTCTACTAAATGGTGAAATAAAGTAGTTTTTTTTTAGTTTTTTTAATACCGTAGTATTTAACGCATACCATAATATAATTTGCCAGGAGGCAAAGGCAATTTCATTCGTTAATACTATACTTGGAAAGAACAACTTTAATATTCTATCTATCTTCTAGTTTCTAAGACGTGACTAATGGCGAGCTACCTTTGCAGCAACCACCTTTGACGCCTCACGCTGGCTGATACGCTCCGCCCATGCTGCCACATTCTTTCTCGAGTCAATAAGCTCACCGAGCAGTAAGCGGTCTCTGAGGAACCCAATCCAAGGAACGTGGAACAGGTCGACTAAAGTGTAGGTCTACGCGGCATTGGGTCAGCACAAGGGGTAATGCTATACAGATGTTAAGGTACGAACATTTCCAGCAAGATAGTGTTGTCTGTCCAAAATACGGTTGTAGTAGTCAAGAGTTGTCTTTAGGAGAGCCAATTGTTGGTCAACAATTGCTTGATTGGTCTCTCCAAGCTTGAAGAGTCTAGTTCCACCCCGAGTCAGTTCACATATCGAATTTCTACTTGACGCTGATAATTTAACCCACTTCTTGAAAATAAGCTCAAAACCGAGAGCTGAGACAGCAGGTTCGAAATAAGCATACTCGACACTGGCAGCCTGCTCAAAAGTCGCCAAAGCCTTGATGTCATCAAACGCAGGGACAAGTGGGGAATTGTTTCTTGCAACTAGGTATCGAGAAATTGCCCTAGATTCAAATATTTCTACTTCGCCGTCCTGATAAACAGGTACTTTGGCGAATGGATGGTGCTGCTTCACATATTCGGAACTCTGTGTGTTTTTCGTAAGTTGATGGTTTCAACTGTATGAAATGACTTTGCTCATTGGCTTACCTGATGCTGTCCCTTGCCGAGATCAATCAGCTCCAGGTCGTATTTGATCGCAAGCTCTTCAAGCGTCAACAAGACTTTTGAGGTGACTGTTCCGAGCACCGTAGGCGACATGTTGGTTAGATAAGGCAAGACAAGACAAATGCAGTAAGGAGGTATAATCTCATAATCTATTCAGAAATGTTCCAGTAACTCCGGATAATTAAGTATTAGTTCTGAATGTGGAATGTACCAAGCGCTGATGCGTCCGCATGCCTCTTGGAATTCTTTCAATCTTAAGCGTGGAGCCGATGGAGCCGAGCGCTACCCGAAGGTGCTCTGGACCACCATCGCTTATACAGGTTGATGAAAAGAGAAATTGAAGTTGCTCAACGAGCAAAGTTCTATTAATAATATATGTTTATAGGACTTGGGCTTCTACAATGGGCATCTCGCTTGAACCACAGCTGCAAGCGCAAGCATGAGTGAAACGGTTGAAGCTGTAAGAGACTGATTATATTATCTTGGTTGGAACTAGCTCCAGGCAATGTTCACACACTCACTATCTTTGGTCACTGATTCCTCCAAATCCCACTCACTGCATGTACCGTGTCGCGAACAATAAACCAGGTTTGCACACGCATCTGGCAGCGACATGCGGCATACTTATGCTAGCTTATCGCCTTCTGTTTTAGATGTTGCCTCCTTAGCTCGGAGACGTAGAAGGATCTGTGCATATATAGTGCTGATGCCCCAGCCCTTCAATGATTTCATCAGCACCACCGCATCATCCAGCAACTTGGTCCGGCCCTCTGCACACAACAAGTTGCCGATGCCCGGTAGCTTGACTCGGCTCCACCCACTGTCGATCCAGACAGTATTCCCCATGGTATCGAGCGATTTCGGTCCCAGTACCACAGCAGGGCCCGTGTGGGGATACAGAAACCCATCCGGAAAACGCTCTACGATGGTCGAGTAAAGCCATAGAACTAGCACAGCGCGCAACAACCAGACAGGTGCCCCGAAGTGTGAGCAGCGACTGGACCGCACAACATGAAGGATTCGTGCCGCATGGAAGCATCCCAGCCTTCCCTGGCGCGGTGCGCTCTTCCACCGGTCTCTGATTTGCGCCCGATCCGAGTCGTCAAGCTTTCCATAAATGTCTCTGACGACAATGGGTAGAAGATTTTGGATGGGGGTGTTATGGGTCATCAAAGCAGTCAGGGCCATCAACTGGTGTGCTGTGGTTGCCTTGGCCTCGTCGACGGATTGTTCTCCCTGGTCGTTCTCAACAAGCGCTAGAAGGTCGGTTACTATGTTTGAGGCCATTGGACCATTATGGCGAGAGAAACTCAGAGTGCCGGGCTGGTTTGCGATTTGATCCTTGATGACATTGGAAAGATATTGCAACATCACCTGCTTGCCCAGGGTGTTAGTTCTTGACCAAGTAGACCGCCAACTATCATCGGCAATCACGCGCTCCATGGTCGGAAGTCCTTTAGCACCGGAGTTGCCTTGATTTGTTAGCACATGGTCCTCTTGAAACCAGAGATTTTCTGGATCGTACACGAACCGACATTGGAGAAGCTCGCCCAGCACTGGGCTGTCGATGCATTCCAGCAGTCGTCCGGCTGAGGTAGCGAGATCTGTAGCTCGGAGAGATTCATTAGACCCGGGAGGTCAAAATGCGCATCAAACGCTGAATCCAAGAGCTATGACGACGTTCAGCACAAATCAATGCATGACTATTGAGCGGGCCGCAACTTGGCTGGACTCACCCAGATTGCAAATCCAGCCCTCCGCCGTTCTTCATCAAGCAGCCAGATCTGCCACTTTTGCGTGCGTGGCAACTGGAGCTGGCCGAACTTGTTCAATGGAAACATATCGGTAAAGAGGCGCTTTCTCCGTCCAAGAGTCACCGGTAAGGCTTGCAGGACCTCTGCAATTTCCAAGGACCTGCGCTCACCGCCATATCGAAGGCCGATGTGATTGAGAAGGATGGTCTGGGACATCCATAGCTCTCGGCTATGAGAATTTTGGTTTTCACACTATACCCGTCAGCAACAACCATTTATTGGCATATTGGGGTGATTCTACTTGCCATGGTTGAACTTTGTCGACGAATGATCTCGTGCATTGCTCTTGAGCAAGTCAGGCTTTCTGTTATACTAGAGAATTGCGCACCAATCGCAGCCACCGTGAAAACAAGCAGCCAGTGTTGCTTGTGTGAAGAAAAGGTCGACTTGTGCAAAATAGGCAAGATTGGGTGAAAGTACTCAAAGTACAGCTGCACCCAAGCATTCAAGGCATGCGTTGGGGGGATCGACACATGCCTGAAGCGCGGATAGTTGCTGCTATTCTGCATGTCCATGACCGCCTGAGCTGCTCTCTGGCTGACATGTTCGGAAATCTCATCCACGTGAGCCAAGTTTTCCTGATCAACGTCTTCCGCGGTAAGATAAGAAAGATCAGGGAGAGTCAGCTGCGCGTCGACCTCGATGGCGACTGGCAAATACTCCCTAGGTTCAACAGCATCCTTGTCGATGGATGGTGAGTGACTACGGCTATACAGCTCTGCGACTGCTGACTGATCCATCATCGAAGAGGCCGGTGTGGGCAGCGATATCATAGGATGCTGCTGTTGCTGTTCATGCTGAGGCAAATGATGAAAAGTTTGGTCAAACCAAGTGTCATTTATAGCACGTAAAGAGAGGTCATTTTGGAGAAAGAGAGGCGAGAAGGACTGGTCGATATCACAGTTGAGCCAGTCAGTGGTTTCGAACGGAATGCCAAATAATGAGGACGGTGCGGATACGATTTTTCCAGCATCGAAATCAATGGGCATGTCATCGTTGTCGAAAGTAAGATTTGCTGTGGCTTTGTTAGTACAGTGCCAGTGCATTATCCAGTATATGCGTGAAGGCGCAGACCTAGAAGCGGATCAATAGGCGGGACATTGACGGCGACGCCTTCAGTTTGGGGCGGCTCAGTGAAGTGATCTTGTCCAGAAGCAATGCACGCGTCATCCTCATCACCGAGCTCACGAGAGCGGGTATCGTGGACAGAAGCTGTGGGTGACATGAGCGACTTGTTGTTCGCGAGGCCGGCATCGACGTTGATTGTTTCATCAACATTGACGTTCGAAATACCGTCAGCTCTGTCCCGCTTAGTGTTGGACCTGTCGGAACCGGCCTCAGACTCGGACATTTTCCGCTTCGCATGCGGCTCATAGTAGCACTGAATATCCAGTCGTCGACACCGCTGGCATGGCCGCTCACCGTCGCATCTCACCTTGGAGACACCACAGGGTTTGCAAGCTTGGGATACGCGACGGCGCTCGTTCTGGCGGTCACGAGTGTCTCTACCATCAGTGCCTAAGTGAAGGGCTGTGTGGTGACGAGCGAGAGAGTCACTGCAGGATCGACAAATGTTAGCACGTCTCGCTAGTTGAAGAAAAGCAGCCGGCCATTCCGGCTGCTTACTTACACCCTGCTGAAGCTCTGCCCACACTCTGAGCATGAAAAAGGCTTCTCTTTTGTGTGGGTGCGCAGATGCCGCTGATAATGCTCCTTCCGTTGAAAGGGGATGTTGCATGTCTCACAGGACAAGGCTGGCTGCGGAGTCATAGTTCAGACAAGTCGACGACGAGAACCATTGATTGAGAGCGAGCAGGTTGAGTGTATGCCTTGATGCAAATCATGCCAGGCTAAGGAGTCTAACTGTGGGAAATTGTGATGAAATTGTGATGTTATGCTGTCCAACTTGGTGTGAGAACAGGCTAGAAAGAGTTGAGCCTAACGCGTGACCCTTGTTCAACCCCGCATTCGGGGGGCAACGTGAATCCGGGGGCATCAATTAGGTCACCGCGACTGCTCCAGGCAATAGAGCAGTGTGGAAGCACAACCCTAGTCCATATAGCCAATGTGAAAGCCTATCAAAGGGGGTTATAGAGGGGTACACGGTCTCATATGTCTCTAACCGGACCTGCTGAAGACGTCTGATGCGGAGATGAAGATGTCCGTTGCAGCGAGAACAAATGATTTGTAAGCGGGATACTCATTTCTTTAGCTTGTCATCGCGCGAGGAAACTCGGAATATGGAACACTTCCGAGCGCACTAGTAGGATGAGTTTAGTCTGAGGAGGGTCTACGCATCTGCTGTCATGTCTACCCCACATCGGCTCCTCGGGCAAATGCAGCGATGGTTGTGAAAGAGGAAAACTAAATACTGATATTTAAAATGCTCTGCCAGATAATCACTTGCGCAAGCAAGCATTCTGTGGCAGCCTTGTAGTCTTTTTTTCAGCATTCGAAATGATCATCGACTAAGTGAATCAATATTGCATGGCATATCTCGTCCTTGTTGTTATAGGCTTACTTGTTATAAAGCTTCTCGCGAACAAATATACCAATGGTTTAAATCAAGCGCCTGGGCCAGTTTGGCATCTTTTATCAAATTCTGGCGCTTTTTCGACGTGTAGAGAAGACGATTAGAGTTGACACATATTGCTGTCCATGGAAAGCATGGCAGCGTGTGAGACTGGGTCCCAAGGCAGTCTCAAAATCGGATCCAGGTGTAACACAGACAATCTATGGACCCAGCTCCAGCTACACAAAGTCCGATTGCTAGTACGTCACTCACCTAAATGGAATTATTTGGGGCGGCTCAAAGCTTCCGTTTCATATCACCGTTCAGCAGACCATCAACAAGAGCAGAGTTCCCATCTTGAACCTTTTTACTTCTCAAGATGATACGTTTCACTCCAAAATCTTCGGAGCTGCGCGCAATGCCCATGCCATGAGTACTTTGGTCCTGTTGAGCCCTTTGTTAACCTGACAACCACCGAATTTTTCTAGCAACTCGACCAGCGGTACACCAATGACGATACTGTGTTAGACTTGAGCACTTAGCTACAGTTCTGTGACTTTGATGTGATTGGCAAACTCACCTACTCCAGAAGACCAAGATTTATAGATCAAGGTAAAGATATAGACAATATCATTAATAATCTCAAATAGCTATGACATTATACTACACCCGTACACCTTTCAGCTCTTATCATCTGGCATTTGACTAATATGCTTCTCTTCCAGATCGGACAAATACCATTTTTTAACAAACCAATCCTTAAAAAATCCAGTAAGATTGCGTTTAGCAAAATAGGGGCTCTCTAGCTCTACATCGCCTGTTGCCGTCTTTACTCGGAATCGCATGCTTGGCCGAGCTGATCCAGAGAATCTCGGAGACAAGGAATTTGGTGAGGTCAAAGCTTGGCGCGACTTCCTTTCGAGATTTCCCGAAGCCCACCAGAAATATTCCGAGTTTATCAGCAACGATCGCGTTCTCGCTTTGACGGTCGCCAACATGCTTGCCGGATCAGACACCATAGCCATTACTCTACGAGCAAATTTCGATTATCTTATGAAGAATCCAGCGGATATGAGCGCTCTACTCAATAATCTTTCCCAAGAAGAAGACGCGGGGAACTTTACTCGTGAGGACGGCCTGTTGGGCTGGAACCAAGTTCGAAGTCTTCCCTGTCTTAACGCTGTAATTAAGGAAGCTCTGCGATGTACTCTACTAAAGACAAGAATCAAGATTTTAAAGGGTAGGGGTAGATTGGATTTCCACGCCAAAGGTTCTTTTATTTATTGGCTAAGCCATCTCAGCCACAAGTATCCACGGGGAAAGAGGTTGAAAGGCTTCGTCTTACAATCAGGTACTGTTCAACGGTATCATCAGCAACAATTCAATCCCGGATTTTCCGCGACTGGCTAATATTGGTTCAAGTGTAGAGCTAGTTAACTAGAATTAACTTGTTTGGGGTTTCCATAAAGATTTACTTCGTTGATTATTGCGGTTATCGCAACTTAGTTGCATCCAACTTCATGGACCTCGGGTAGGATAACGCGTTTCAAGTAGGATCCATCTCATTTCCCACATGACTCGTATGAATTGTTACCAAGCTGCCGCGAGGGATGACGGTTTGGCCAGGCCCAATCTTCGTCTTGTTATTTCGCTCGTCCAGGCTGCCCCTTTCTCCATAACCCGCCCTCATGTTCGTGATACCCTCAAACTCGCATTTCTACTTTCGAATATAATTCCCCCCCGGCCCCCTAGACATATCACTCAACTAGAAGTTAGAAGCCTTTGGTCCAAATTTTATGCATTGTTGATTTGATACTGTTTTGGGCGATTGGATTGATTGACTGGAAGGCCTTGCCGCTCACTATCCTGGGCCACTCGATTATGTACCACATGGTTGCGATAAAGTTAATGCGTTGTAAAGGTATAGGTAGGCAGGTTTAGACTTGTTCGGCAGATATCGTCGCTTGCTCCCTTTCTGCAGAGGCCCATTCGGGAGCCAGGCGTTAGCCACCCGATGAGAGAATACCATCTACCAGGTAGCCATGGTCGACATAGTACATTAGACCACTCCAATACTGCATTAGGGTACACTGGAAACCCGACTGAGTGAGGTGTCGGTCTTTCCGACCTGAACCAGTTCGTAGTAAACAAAGGGTTTACCATCGGAGTGGAGCGTAAATCCGTCGCCTCAGCCGCCGACCGATATCTTCCTCTCCGCTCGATCTTGTCGGAGGCTCTGACACTGGATCTGCGCCATGGTCTGGTGCTTGTCGCGGCTCCATATGAGCGGATAGTGACAGTGCGATGGTAGTTTTAGACTGTCTCGTAGCTAGCTTTCGAGCGGTTTTGATTAAGACTAGAATCTGGTCGGCGATAAAGGCGATTTCGCTATGATGATTAAGCACCTATATATTGTACTATCTGTATTTCTATTGATAAAGCTGTGATTGCCAAGCTTGAGGTGTAATCATATGCCGGAGTTATTTAACCCTACTACGATAAGATATACCTCTAAGGATAAATTAATATAGAGGATCAAAAGGTCTATTCAGAGGCTTAGGCTATTATCTAGAAGATAATAATTAAGGATAAGGCTGTATTTCTTATAGGCTATCGGATATAGAGGACGTATAGCCTTAATTATCTTAGGGTGCGTGCCCTTATTATAACTAATAGAACTTATAGTGTATACTACTCTATCCCCTAGATTAATAAGGACTAGCTAGCTAAGTAGGACTTTAAAGCCTTTCTTTTAATAGTAAATTATAAGGCAAATAAGGTTAAGGTCGCCTAGGGTATAATAAAGCTAATAACTTACTTCCCTAATAGCTTAAGTATTATATATTCCTAGGATATAGACCTCGCCTTCTAGATAGATACTACCCTTAGGCTATAATATTAGGCTTTTAGTATTAACCTTCTCCTTAGACTAGGCGTTAATATTTAATAGATACCACTAGGCGGCTAGGTATATAAATACTTATCTAAGGATCCTATCCTAATTAGTAATCTAGTAGTAAGCTTAATTAAGGGTATATAAAGTTATAGTGTTAGTATATTAATTAAGTATTTTACCTATAATAATAATAAAGTTAAGTGTACTACTATAAATAATATTATTAACTCTTAGGTATTATAGGAGATCTACCTCCTTAGCTACTAATAAGCTATTAAGAAGAGTAATCCCTAAACTATAATAAGCTCCTATAATAGGCTTAATAGAGTTTAGGTTACTAAGAATCTATAGCTACTTAATACTATACTTTATAATAAATAGGGCTATAAAGGCCTAATTATATTAGACTAGTATAGTATTAAGGATCACCTAGTATTAATTACTACTAGTAATAACCTTAATATACCTAAAAGTAAAAGTTAGTATAAGGATCTCCTAAACACTATAAGATCTAGTAATCTCTCTATAGAGGTAGTTAATCTATCTTACTAATAGCTTATTAAGTTAGTTTATAGGTATAAATAAGGTTCTAAGATTACTATACTAGTGCTTAATATAGATACCTACTATTAGCTTACTTAGAATATTATTAGTAGTTTTAATATTCTACTAAAGAATTATAGAGGAATTCTCCCCTTATACCCTAAATATATAAAGTCTATTACTATAATTAATAAAGGTATAATTAAAGCTATTATCTAGGGTTCTAGGTGTATAATAATAGTACTAATATAAGTAGATATACCTCTAGATAAGATCTATACTCTTACTAGCTAGGTGTAGATTAGTTACTATTAGGGAACTAGTTCTTAGGATACTTTTAGTAAGGCTATTATAGGAGTATATATAGCTAAAGTAGCTATAGTCTTTATTAATACTAAGGTTAACTAAGATAGTAAAGGGTTAGACTGCTAAACGCTAGCGCTAAGTATTAGTTAGGATAAGTTAGTTAAAGCTATTACTACTATTAATAGAAATATAATTATAGTAGTATCTAGCTTAGATATAGTAGTGATACTATAGATTAATAATATTATAGTAGTATTAGCAACCTTCTTCTCTAGATAAGTGATAGGTAGTATAGTAGCTAATATCTTATTTAATATAGTTAATCCCTTAGGTAAGCTTACTACTAGCTTCCCTTATGCTCTTAAAGATATCCTAGGGTACCTAAACTATCCTAGGGAGAATAGTAAGTATATATATTCTAAAGGTCTCTTTATTAATTATTATTCCTATAATACTTATAATATAGACCTCCTTTTCCCCTTTAGCTATAGATTAAGCTTTTTAACCTTTAAGTATAGTGATATAGCTATAAGCTAATCTATAATTCTTAATAGTGATATACTTAAGGTTAGCTTTAATATTATTAATATAACTAGTATTATAGGAAGTAAAGTAGCCTAAGTTTATACCTACTATAGTAAGCTATATATCTATTATCTATATTATAAGTTAAAGGGCTTTATAAAGATAGTAGTTCTAGTGGGTGAAATAGTAAAGGTAGAGATATTAATTAATATAGAGGACCTACGCTACTATAACACACTTTAAAAGATATAGATTTTAGATAATAATAATATTATTATTAAGGTTAGCGTATTATTATATAATATTAAATTATATTCTTAAGTATTTACCTATTTACTAATCGCTTACTACTATAAGATCCTTTAGGATATATAGCTATAGATTATTCTTAAAATACTAGTTACTTAGGGGAAATTCTATACCTACCTCTTAGGTCGTCTTTCTATTACTAATAATAAGGCTAAGAAGATATTAATTTACTATAGCTCTTTATTTTTCAGGCTAGTGATAATGCTTAATCATCGTTTACACTAATAGTTCCCTGTAATAGAGATTTAAGCACTACTAGATAATATTAACTCAGAGATTAAAGCTAATAAATCAGCCGGTATTATAGATATACTATAGCCTAAAGGTACATATAGGTGATGCAGCGTGTCTAATATTCATTATCAAGAACCAAATTCAATAAGTACCTCAAAACATCCAGACATAGGTATTCAATAGTCTATATTGCCGATGGACTCTATATGACAGTTACATCGGATATTTCCATTGGTTCTTAGTAGGCACAATGCTCCAAGTTTGAGATTCATATAAGTAGTCAACAATCTTGATAGAGCGAAATGTGTAGTAAAGGGTAAACTGGGAGACATAAAAAAGATTTTCAAACCATCCCACCTAAAGATTATTTAGTTAGAGAAGTTGATAAATGGTTAAGAAGTATCTAAAGAAGCTATTAATAATTTATTGATTTTAGTATAGAATAAACTTGTATCAGACATTGATTATAGAAAGGCTGGAGTTATTGATTTAGTATTTCTAAAGCGTATTATTTAGTAATAAGCCCTGCCTAATGATTATACTTTTAAAACCTCTATCTAGGCTCTTATTATTTATAATCCTCCTTCTTATAAGTTTTAAGCTTAGTAATAGGCTTACCTCTATTATAAGCCTTAATAATATTAAGAACCTTACTATATAGGACGCCTTTAAAATACTAAGTAATTTACTCTAAAGTAAGACCCTTTATTTTAATATATATAAAGGCTATAATAATAGTGATAAAAATATTCTAATAAACGCTAATAATATAAAATCTATTTAATAATTAGAATAATCTACTTTTAATAAACTTACTAAAGTTTATTAAGGGGATATACTACTCTTACCTCTAACTAATACTAGTAAGACTAATAGGAATAATATACTAATTAAAAAATCCTATAAAAGATATAATAATACTATAAAATCTATAATAAAGTAAGTTAATAAGTACCTCTTTAACTTTCTATATAAGAATATTATATACCTTATACCTCTTATATAGATAGTAAAGTTAAGCACCTTAGGGTAATAAGAGAAAGATAAGGGGGTCTAGGTCTAGGAATATTTAATCTAAAATAGGAAGACTATTACTATTATTCTATTTTATCCTATTTTATTTCCTATTTAAGTAGTTATAAGCCCTACTATATAGGTGAGAATTAATATATAAAAAGAAGTACCCTTAATAAGTATAGGAATATAGCTAAGCCTATTAATAATATAGGTGCTAATAATAGTAGTAGCTAGAGCTATATAATTTTAGCTAATATTAATAGCGAATTACTATAATTTAGAGGTAATACTAGCTAGTATAAGTATATTACTAAGATAGTATATAATAATACTTAAGCTAATAGTTTACTTAAAGACTCTAAGGGATAGTAAGATATATACCTAAAGAAGGTTAAACTTTTTAGAGGTAAACTTCTTTTATTATACTCTAAATAATTATATATACTTTACCTTCTCTATTATAATTATCTCTTTAATCTCTCTAAACTCTATAACTATTAAGGGGTTATTAATATTATTATTCCTATAAAACTTTACTAGTATTATTAGCCCCTCTTACTTATAATTATATAAAATAAGC